TTCATTTTTTATGTGCAACCTTTTCTGTGCAAAATCATGGATTACATAATATTTTTGAGTGTTCATTCAAAATAACAGAGTTCCTTGTTAATGGTTTACTAATGAAGCATGAAGAAGGCTTTTTTGGCTTCCAGGTACATTGAATACAGTATCCTATGGTTTTTTGGTTTTAATTTGGTTTTTATTTCTGTAGATGTTCTAAATTAGTCTTTTTTTTTTTTTTTCTTTCTGAAGATCACACGGTTTTTCGGGATTTAATATCCAGCTGCAGCTTATGCTCAGGTCTTACAGTTAGGAGGGAGCTTCTTCAGTGACATTCTAGAATGTAAATACGTCAGGCTTAGTGGTGAAATGAAACCTTTCCTTTCTAAGTGAAACTTTAATGCCATGTTACTTATCTGGGTTATTGACCATAGTGGTGTTTTGACATTAGTAACACAGACTTTGGAAATAACTACTTCTAATATTAACCAAGCTTGTGGCAAAAAAAAAAAATGGTGGTGGTGATGTTTTTGGTTTGTTTGGGTTTTTTTTTGTTTTTTGTTTTTGTGTTGGGTTTTTTGTTGTTGGTTGGGCGGGGGGGGGGGGGGTTGGTTCCAGTTGTATTGTTTAGTTCCAGAACTTAGTAGAACCATGTTCTTCAATATGCTGGGAACAAAGCTATTTTAAGAAAAGTAGAGTTATGGCTTGATACAAATGATAAATTTGTATATGATGCTTTTTGTCCCTTAATCGCTTTCTTCAGAGTGCTTAAAATAGCACGTCTTTCTTGGATATATTTCTTGTTTTCTCTTTTGAGAGAACTGCTGATGCGTCCCAGTTATGACTAAACTTTCCTGTAGTGCTTTTTATGATGTTTCCCACTTCACGGATGGGTTTTTGAGGCACTGAGATTTGAAGGCTCTAGCAGATCTTCAGCAGGTTTGATACTTGAATGGGGTGTGCTTTGTCTTAAATCATTCTGGGTCATCCTTCTCCAGATTTAGCCAAAATATAGCCTTTAGAGTGGAGGTAGCAGGGACTAGATAGCTGTGTTGAATATGGAATGTGGGAACTCTTCTAGTATTTACCTAGTGTTGTTAAGACTTCAGAGTCCCAGGAAGCTAAAGAACAGGTTACCTGTCCTATCTGATTGTGCGCTTGTAGGCTAAATAGGCATTGGATGTGGGATTTAAGATGACAGGACTGCATAAAAGGTAACTGAAATATTGCTGTCTGTTGACATGGTTACACTTGTGTCAAAAAGACTTTTTTTCTGATGTTTTGAAAATGCAGCTTATAAAATACAGACCTAGAGTTTGCTATGCAGTCACCTGTGCTTATATTAGCTAGCATGGGATGTCTGAAAAATACAGAGAATAGTAATTCTCTGTAATTTTCTCCCATAGCGGAGGGATGGTGGATGCTGTGCTTCAGAGATGCATGGAAACGTACTAATTGGAAGACCGTAACAGAAATAATAGTTATTTCCCATGGCAATAGCAAGAATTGATCTGCCTCTGCCAAAAACTGGGGGTAAAGCAACTACCTACCTGAACTTTACATAGCTCTCTTCCCCTTTTCCATGCCTGTCTCTACTTCTTCACCAAGACAAAATGTAGTAGCTTACATATAATGCTGTTCTGTTCTCTCGTGTATGTAAAACTGTTTTTTTTTATATGTATAGTAAATATACAAAATATTGAACATGGTGGGAGAGAAGGAAGGAAACCAGACAGGAATTGCTCTAAGTTGTTAGATATTTTAAACTTCCTCAGACTCCAGTCCTCAAAAGTGACCCCAAATATGTAATAATTTCTTCCTTATTTAATCATGCAAGAACTTTTTACAATGTGGAGGTAAAGTCGTTTCTAGTCTGCAGCTGGTTCTAATGGAACACTGTGCAAAGTTTACAGACATGTGAAGTAGTATCATTAAATGATAAACAAGTCATTTTGGGGAATACTGAGATGATAAGGAGAGCTAGGAACTGAGTGGAAAAGGTCTTTGTGGTAGGTATGGCATTTGGGTTTTTTTTTGTTTATTATTTTAAATATATAATTATGCATTCTGTTTGCAATTTTACCAACTGTAAGCATTTAAGAAGGTACAAGTAAATATTCCTTAACAGAGGACCAGGGTATCTAGAATTTGTGTCAGCTACTTACTGTGCTAATTTCTGTACACATGCTTCTGAGTTCATTGCAGCATTTAAATAACCCAACCAGTTGCACTCTGAAAAAAGTCTTGTACAGAAATTAATATAATAATTTTAACCTTAAAATCTTAAGGCCATAGTGAAGGTCAGTTAACTTAATTGATAATGCTACAGAGCAGCTGAAAGGTAATTGTTGCTCCAGAATTTTGGGAGCATTGCATCTGCTGTAATTATGCATAATAGTAACTGTAGTCATTCAAAATGAACTGCTGACTTAAGTTTCTTAATAGTGTGGTGAACCTTGCCAGCTGCTGTACTTGTGCTGTTGCCTGTCCTTCTGCTCGCTATCAGTAGTTACTAACTTTGGTAAGTAGTTCTGAGATCTTTTATTTGTTGCTTCTTTTTAGAGGTCTACAGTGTTCTTACTCATATGACAATGAGTCTAAACCTGGGGGACAGCAGCAGTTTGCTTTGAAGGATTTGACTAATAGAGTTCAAACTAACAGCACCTTAACTGGTAACACAGATTCAATGTAGGGCAAATTGGGAATCACTTGGTGAATCTAGTACTTGCCAACCTATTGTATGCACAAATTAAACAGTAGCTAAGAAATTACCTGAGTAATTTTCTTCTCCCACAGCCTTCTCCCTCTCCCCCCTTTTTTTGTTTGCCAATTTTTACATTATTCACCATTGTGAAGCTACTTCTTGTTTAGGAAATCTGGGGCTGGGATGGGTCTTGGGCTGAAAATTCAAACTGTATAAGTTGTTCTCATTTGAAAGAGTGTCTGAGCACAGATAAGTATCAAGTAATTATAGTGTATTACTAGATATGGTTATATACACACCAGAGAGCTTGTTTGCCACCCATGTGCTGCTGCTAATTATCTGACCAATACCTTTTATGTTTAATGTTCCAGGATGATTGTGGTGGACTCTTTATCATAAATACAAGTCTGGGAGCAGAGGGTAACTGGAGAATTGAAGGCAAAGAATCTGCCAGGTTGTTTCACAGATGTTTTACTGAAGAGCTTGGGATAAACTGGGTTTCCTCATAGAAGAGAAAACTAATGTCTGACTTAGACTCCAGCTTGATGAACTAGTCTGCCTGGATTCAGATCTTCAGACTGGCTGAAAGTGGGCCATGAATAATACTAATGGGCAAAGCTTGACATGTTGAATTGCAAATAAGTATTAGGGCTACCCGGAATAATGAAGGGTTGCTTGAAATCTTGACTGGTAGCTCCAAAGATAAGCTTGTCTAAATTCATGTTTCTGGCCAATTTTTTTTTTTTTTCCTGTGCCTGCAGTGATGTTTGAGTAGTGAGCTGTGGTTTCCAGTGAAAGCTTGCAGCCTCAATATGTATGGTTTTTTTTATAGATAAGGAAGCAATGGCCTGAGAGCCATATCTGAAATCTCTGTTCTGGTTACATGGCCTGCTTAGTAGGCTGGGTTCACCCTGCTTCCATCCTGTATTTTGTGGGTTTGGACAATTTGAGGAATGACTTCTGGTGTAACCCATGCTGTTGAAATAGCCAAATGCTGACCAGTCTGGCAAAAACTCTGGGAGTTGCTTTCTATTTGTGAGAGGGGAGGATGTATTTCTTAGGCATGTATGTGGCCCTGTATGAAGTTGCATATTGTTCCTGTTGCAACAATCTGCATGTATTTCAGTAGAATGGCATCTGGCCTAAATGTTGCTGAAGCTGTACCATGCCAAGGTTATTTGCCATCATTATTTCTTAATTTTTCCATTTGTGGCTTATAAATTGAGGTAAAAGACAGAAGAAGGTGGGAATGTTATCATAAATGAGACTGTCCTGATCTGTTGATGTTGTTTAATGTCTGTCATGACCAAATAAATGCTTTATTCTTTATACAGCTTGCCCATGCAGCCTCTTCTTAACATGAGTGCCTTCTATGTGAATCAAGTTTCTTTAGAAGATAATCTGAGGCCCTGAGTTTGACCAGGGAGTTTGTTGATCACAGGAGGGTTTAAACAGGTTGTCTTGCTTCTTGCTCTCTGCTTTTAGAATGAAACACAAGAGTATTTGAGCATACATAGCTACTGTGGGATTCATATGGAAATATATTAAAATATATTGTGTTCCTGCCTGATGATGAGCAGCAAATCTGGCAAGTTCCTATTAAGTACTACTAATGAAGTGTCAGTGATAATTACTAGGGTTTTTTTTCTGAAGGCCTGCTATTCTGGGAGAAGGAGAGAGATGACCTTCTCTAACAGCCCTGTAATTCACTGCTGCAAGAATAGTGTAACTCTTGGTTTAAGAAATTCTTCCATTCTCTGTCTGAACATACTATGTGTTCCTAGTTTTGGGAAAGAAAACTTCAGGGGGTGGGGAGTGGAGGAAGGGGACGCAAACCCAGATTCCAGAAATACTACTACAGGTAATGGTATCTCAGTGCTTGGCTTCAGGATTGGGTGAAGTCATTGAGCTTCCCCAGTGGGGAGCTAGCTGATGGTGGAAACTTTGCATGTTTGGTTTTTGGGTGTGTGTTTTGTTGTGTTGTTCAGGTGTTGGGGGTTTGGTTTGGTTTGGTTTTGTTTTTTTAGTGAAATCATGGATGATTTACCACTTCCACAGGGTTTGCTATTAATTAAATGCTGACACTTGTGATCTCGTGACATTCAGTTTGTAGAGAGGGAAATACTTTAAAAATCACAAGTGTTACATAAGCTGGGGATTTCTGGAGCTAATGTGTTCTATGGCACCTCTAGTATGCTTAAATGAAGCAGTGCTAAGGGTGTTAAATATGCTGCCCACTTTTGTCCTATAAACTGTCTCTTAAATATTGGCTTATATTCAAATTGCTTTACTTTTTTGTTGTTTTTCTTTTCAGGCAAAATTTGAGGGGTGAGCAGTAGGTACCAGACTCGATGAGTTTCCATCGAAATGTCGGAAAAGTCAGGCCAGAGTACAAAAGCAAAGGATGGAAAAACGAAGTATGCAACGCTCAGTCTGTTTAACACTTACAAGGGAAAGTCACTGGAAACTCAGAAAACCACAGGTGAGTAATCTGACTTCAGTTTTGCATTCATTCGGTTTCATCATTACTGTAGTATTAATTAGGAGTGCAAAGTATATGAGCACTTAACCACAGCGAGACTTATTTTCTTTTTAACTGCTTGGTACAGCAGTTAAGTGGAAGAATTCTGGAAAGCAGTGTTGATTGCAGTGTCTGGTTAGCTGTAAACATGAGTATCAGTTCAGGCAGACAGCATTTGCAGTCTAGTAGGAAGTAGAATATAGATAAGTAAAAACTGTTCTTATAGCTGCAGTCTCTGTTACCAGCATATGACATGGCATTCCCCAGCTGTGCTTTTTGCCGTATTAACATTTGTGCTACTGGAGGGTTTTGATTAACAAGAAGGCAGTGCTCCCTTTCATGTCAGGTTCTTTGTCTGTTTTGCAGACTGGGTGAAGCTGGCACTGACCTTTCAAGTAAGTTTAGTGTGGGCCTTTTTCACAATTAATTGGATTGAGAATCAGGAGGTAATGACACTCTGAAGGCTTAGAATTTGATTTGACATATTGCCTAACTTAGGGGGTGAAAGAGGAGATGTGTTTTCAAGGCTAAAACTGAGATGTCTGATAGAACATCTAAGGCAGTATCGTGTACGTGTTCACCTGAGTTGATTGATTCGATGGTAGGTTGAATGTCTTGCGTAGTGCATGGGCTTCATATTGCTTTTTCATTCTTGTGGTCTGGAGTAAATGCAATTTGTAGGAATGTTTTTGCAAGAGCAGCATCTGCCAACTGAAACTGGCAGCAAAAAAGAAATGGGCTGCACCCATGTGGATATTCCTGGACTCATCAGAATACATTAAAGTCCAAGAGGAATGAGAGAATGATGTTTGACAACATGTTAAAGGATATTAGGATATCAGCATCACATTTTATACAAGTTCTCTAGCTTCCTGTCACTGAGCAGTGTGTATAAAGTTGGGGCAATATATCCTTTTTCATTTCTGGTATAGGCCAACCATAGTGATTAAAGAGTACACAGGTTGTCTCAGACCAAGTATTTCTAATGCTGGTTTTTTTTTTAAAGTAAATTATAAAGAACTTTGAATTTCTAATTCTTAACGCTTTTAAATTTTTCTTGAAGAAACATTTTTGTTGATTTACATACCTTTGTATGAATGCTGCTTGCTAACAGCATTGTTAACTTTCACTTTCTGTTTTGGCATGCAGTTGCTGCACGCCATGGATTACAGAGTCTTGGGAAAGTTGCTATTTCAAGGAGGATGCCTCCACCAGCTAACCTCCCCAGTCTTAAAGCAGAGAACAAAGGCAATGACCCTAATGTGAACATTGTGCCTAAAGATGGCACAGGATGGGCTTCAAAACAAGAACAGCACGAAGAAGAAAAGTAAGTGACCAATGAGATGTGGGTTTTTTTCCTATGCCATTTCTCCCAAGTCTTTCTAAAGCTGGGGGTGGGCAGGGCCAGGGAAGAAATTGGCTGAACGTGACTGTCCTAAAAAAAAAAAAAAAAAAAAAAAAATAGGAGGAAAAAGCACAGCTGTTAGTTTTCATAAGGAAGATTCTTGCTGTTAGGTCAACAGTTAACAAAATGTGTAACAAAACACACACTTAAGTTGAAAGCAGTGTGCTTGTCAATTCCATATGAGGGGTATCAGGTACCTTTAGCCACCTGATTGCGTACATTCTGATGGCTTCTTAAATGAAATACTATAGCACATTTTTGTAAGATCTTAAACTTTACTGTAGCTTAAGGCTCCCCCAATATGTGATACAGACAGAAGTGATGGTGATGTTGATACACAGTGCTGTGTACTGTGGATAGTACAATTTCCTATGCTCAGTGCAGTTTCATCTGCTGAGTTTTTCACACTTGTACAGCAGGTCAGGTAAAGAAGAGAGAGACTAAAACTTTTCAATATTTAGTTAGAAAGTATTTTAAAGCTTTTTTTTGTCGTATAAGCTTAAAATGGGTATGATTCACTATAAAAGTGGGTTTTAGGTATTTTTTGACATACCAGTTCTTCTGAAAACCACTTGCAGATAGAGGAACTGATTGCATGTCACTAGCACTTGTGAAAGCAAAAGACGACTAAAGGTTGGGTTCGCCCCCCCCCACTGTCTATTTATTTCTCCTTGTATACTTTACTATGTTTAAATGTCAATTTTTGACATGTCTCTGAAAAGCTGTTGGACTTTAGGAGTATAGTATTGTGTTTAACTTTTTATTTTAAGATCATGAAATTACAAATTCAAAATTTTCGGCCCGGTGTTCTGTATGGTTTTGTTTTTTTAAAAAAATATCTTCCTGTACTTCAAGGCCACTTAACCTTTGTCTGGTTAATTCTGAGTTAAGCCTTTAGTTTATTTGACTAAAACACCCTTTCATCTGCCTTTCCAAGTCTGCTGCTTGTGTTAAAAGTGTATTCTAGTAGTTGATGTTGTGTTTAAAAATTGAATAAATGGCTATCCCTTGCCTGCAAGTGGAAGGTGTTTGTATTTTCATATGTATTATTCTGACAAAGGCCTCAAAGTCCACATACAGGTAAAGCTGGGGCGGGGGGAGGAATTTGTTCCCAGGAACAGGTATGTATGGCCATGTGACAAGTAAATTCTAAGTTCAGGCCATCTAATGCATTTGCTCAAGTATTGAGACCATTATTATAACTATTGCTATATTTCTCCAACATGCTTATAAATGCTACTGTTTACATGTAAAGTGCACTGGTATTCCTCTCACACATGTTGTGGATAAAGGTAGCATTTTGATATCAGCTTGTTTGATATCAGTTTTATTCTTCCTTTTTTTTTTTTTTTTGTGTCACTGCACTGAAGTTCACATGAGTGAATTGTTTCCTATAATTCCAGAATAATTTTTCTGCTGCTTTCCCAAGTTGTTACTCTTTCTATGGGTATCCCTTTTTCCTGGATGGTGTGGCCTGTTGTATATTGGTTTGATGAATTCATATAGCACTAGCTGAGTTCTTTCTTACATCAGTACACGTATCTATAGGACAGTGTTTGGGTAACTCAAAGCCAAGCGCATTTAGAATTTGAAACAGTGGAAGTACAAGGAATAAACTCTTTAACAGTCTTGTTTCTTGTTTCACTTTGTGTGTGACAAAGTACAGCCATGTAAATTACAACTTCCCCAATGTCTGCTTAGAAAATATGCAGCTGTAAGAAGATATGACTAAGTGGAAACTGAGAAGATGAGAATTTTTAAAATTTATTTATTTATTTTCATTCTGGTAATCTGTGGAAACAAATGAAAATTGTATTCAGTTACCCTTGTGAGAAGCCAGTTTCTCCCCAGCAGTGATTTTTTTTTGGGGGGGGGGTTGCTTTTGGGTTTGGGTTTTTTTGGTGATGTTTACTTCTGTGTCAATTTTGGGACTATTGTGTAGTGGTTTGGGTTGATCACTGCAGAACCCAAATGGAACTGACTTCTCAGTGGCAGTCCTCAGAGAGTTTAGAATTACTTCAGGATCTATTTAAAGCATTTGCAATTGTTTATTATAAGTTAACTGGCGTGCTATTGCACTAGTTATGTTTGTCTTTACTTTCATAATAAAGTCATTCTGTCTACTGGATTTGTCCTATAATTCCTGTTCAGTCAAAAATTGCTATTAATGAGCTGGAGGTCTTGACTTGTAGACAATAATGCTTTGGAGTCTTAAGTTATCTGAATATGCAGATTTTGGAGATAGCTGTACTTGAAAGAAACTAAACAATATCGCTGAATCTGTAGACTGCTGAGATGATCTTCAAGAATATGACTGGGTTTTATATTAGAGAAAATGAGTGCTTCTGTCTGCCTCTTCATTCTTAAAATAGTGAAATTGAGAGAGTGTTCTTACTAAGCTTAAGCTTCTGGACTCCAGTTCATAGCACCCATCAATTTTTTTTCATGGTGTCTTTATCTTTCCTTATTGGCTCCTTTAATTTCCTAAGTTCTAGCATGTATTTGCCTTCTTTCTCTCAGTTCATGGTGGTTTTTAAGTGCTTGCCTCTAACTCCCAAGACAAGAGAACACTTATAAATTATTCCCTTCTGTGGTTGTCGATTGTTTGGGTTTTAATTGTTCGTACACTAGTTAAAAAGTTAAAACTCTGTTCATGCCTGACTGTATTTTCTGCCCATCCATTTTCATTCATTTCTCTCCATTTTGAGTAATCTACTCGTGAAGGAATTGGCTGATTTATTCCAATTTTAGCCGTAACTGTAACAACTCATTTTATGTAAGAATGTGCTCTATATATAGAAAAGTAGCTATTGGTTCTTCAGCTGCATAGCTACCTCATTTCATTCACTTGTTTGCAGTAGTAATCCTGAGGATCTTAGTCTGTGCCCACCTTATATTCACAAGTGCTTTCTCTCTAATTCCAGACAGCCAGACGTGCCGCAGACACAGCCAAAACCTGCTGTTCCTGCTCCTCCAGAAGCAGCTCCTGTTGCCAAATCATGGGCCAACACCAAACCAGGTGGACAAGATGGTAAGTGGCGTTCAGGTTGGAGGGTTCTTGACTGGCCTAGCAGGCTGCGAATGCTGCTGTGAGACCCTCAGACTCGGCAATGATTTGAATCTTCACTGGGCCAGCTGGGACTACAAATTCTGTGGAAGCAACATTCTTGGCCAGAAGGTGGCTAAAGTGAGCTCCAGCCTCATTTAGCAGCAGGTCTGACTGTCTTCTAAAGGGCTGGTATCATCACCTCTTTTGTTTTGACAGTGAAGTGGTGGTCACAGTGTAAGACCTTGAACGTGGCTGTGATAAGGAGGGAAAAATACAGTCAATAGTTATAATGCATACAATTTTGTTGTGAAAGGGATAACCATAAGCAGTTAGTGGTCATTCTTATCATAATTTTGAATCATTTTGTGCAAAATATGTGTAGTCTTGCTTCCATTTAAAAGTCTGCTACAGCAGCACTTTTCCCTTTTATTTCATAGGTTCTTTGCTTATTTTGGTTTCAAAGTGATAGTGTTCAAGTAGGGATTTTTCTGGGAAAAGCATTAAAGGTGTGGTGGTAGTGGGTTTTTCGCTAGGGGTTTTTTGATGGTGGTGGGTTTTGTGGACTTTGGAGTTTGCTTTTTTTTTTAATAACTGTTGGAGTACTGTTTCCATCAGTGTGAACCTTGGGTTGAGTATTTTCATATAATCGAATAGATTGTAAAAGACCTTTAATATCATCAAGTCCAACTTTTACCCCAGGACTGCCAAATCCACCACTAAACCATGTCACTAAGGGCCTCATCTACATGGCTTTGAACACGCCCAGGGACAGTGATTCCACCACTTCCTGAGCAGCCTGTTCCAAAGCCTGATCACCCTTTCAGTGAAGAAATTTTTCCTAATACCCAGTCTAAGCCTCCCCTGGTGCACCTTGAAGCCATTACCTGCTGTCTTATCACTTGTTACTTGGGAGAAGAGACCAACACCCACGTCGCTACTACCTCCTTTCAGACTAAGGGAGACTCAACACCCCCAGTTCTCTGAGCTGTTCCTCATAAGACTTGTACTCCAGACCGTTCACGAGCTTTGTTGCCCTTCTCTGGACCTGCTCCAGCAACTCAGTGTCTCTATTGGAGTGAAGGGCCCAGAACTGAACACAGGCTTTGAGATGTAGCCTCACCAGTGCCGAGTACAGGGGGATGATCACTGCCCTGGCCCTGCTGGTTGTGCTGTTGCTGATACAGGCCAGGATGCTGTTGCCCTTCTTTGCTGCCTGGGCATAAGCTGGCTAATGTTCAGTTGGTACCCCAGGTCTGTTCATTACAGACGTAAGATCAGAGCTAAATCTTCAGATTTTTAAAAATTGTTTATTGAGTGAGAGCTAACATAGAATTCCTTTCCTGTGTCTCCATTATAGAAAATAAATTTGTTTTATTCCTTAAATTTGAGACTTGCAAGCTTTCTGTGGCTCTAAAATAGAGTTTTGGATTTCAGGTTGAAGAAGTGAGCTTTCTTCTGGATAGGGATCTTAGGGTAGTAAATCTGAATTGCTTGGAGGTAACTTCTAGGTCATTATATGGAGTTTGTTAACATCACATACTAATGATTTTGCCTTTTTTTTTTTCCTCAATAAATATTAGAAGTGAAAATTCAGAATTCTCTACTTTTTGCTTTCCTCTCTTATGTTCAGTATTTCCTTTGTTATCAAATATAGGAACTCGACGGTCGTGATACGGTCGAGTTCGAGAACCTCAGGGCAGTGAGAAGAGTGTGCAGCAAGCTCACTGCCCTGGGCTTCAAGAGAGCAGACTTTGGCCTCTTCAGGAACCTGCTTAGTAAGATTCCATGGGAAACAGCCCTAGAGGGCAGGGAGGCCCAAGACTGCTGGTTGATGTTCAAGGATCACCTGCTACAAGCTCAGGAGTGTTGCGTCCTGACTAGAAGGAAGTGCAGCAAGGAGGGCCAGGAGACCTCCTTGGATGGATAAGGAGCTGCTGAGGAAACTTACAGGGGGAAAAAAAGGGGCTTATAAGAGGTGGAAGCAAGGACAGGCGGCCTGGGAAGAATACAGGGATGTTGTTTGGGAAGCTAGGGACCAGGTTAGGAAAGCTAAGGCCCTGTTAGAATTAAACTTGGCTAGGAATGTGAAAGATAACAGGAAGGGATTCTATAGGTATGTAGCAAATAAAAAACAGACTAGGGACAACGTGGGCCCTCTCCGGAAGCTATCAGGAGAATTGGCTACCCTGGATTTGGAGAAGGCTGAGGTTCTTAATGACTTCTTTGCCTCAGTCTTCACTGGCAAATGCTCTGACCGCACCACCCAAGTCTTGGAAGGCAGACACAGGGACAGTGATAATGAAGACCTTAGGCCCACTGTAGAAGAGGATCTGGCTTGATACCATCTTAAGAACCTGAACGTACACAAGTCCATGGGACAAGTTCCTAGCCAGTGTCCATCATATTTGAAAAGTAATGGCAGTCAGGTGAAGTTCCCAACGACTGGAAAAAGGGAAATATAACCCCCATTTTCAAGAAGGGGAAAATGGATGACCCAGGGAATTATGGACCAGTCAGTGTCACCTCTGTGCCTGGCAAAATCTTGGAGCAGATTCTCCTGGAAGGCATGCTAAGGCACATGAAAAACAACAAGGTGCTTGGTGACAGCCAGAATGGCTTCACTAAGGGGAAATCCTGCCTGACCAAATTGGTAGCCTTCTATGATGGGGCTACGGAACTGATGGACAGAGGTAGAGCAGTCGATGTCATCTACCTGGACATGTGCAAAGCGTTTGACACTGTCCCACATGACATCCTTGTCTCTAAATTGGAGAGACATCAATTTGATGGATGAACCCCTTTGTGGATAAAGAACTGGCTGGATGGCCTCATGAAAAGGGTTGTGGTCAATGGTTCAGTGTCCAGCTGGAGACCAGTAAGGAGTGGTGTCCCTCAGGGGTCGGTGTTGGGACCAGTCCTGTTTAACATCTTTGTCGCTGACATGGACAGTGGGATTGAGTGCGCCCTCAGCAAGTTTGCCGATGACACCAAGCTGTGTGGTTCGGTTGATACACAGGAGGGAGGAATGCCATCCAGAGGGACCTCGACACGCTTGTGAGGTGGGCTGATGCCAGCCTCATGGAGTTTAACCATGACAAGTGCAAGGTCCTACACCTGGGTCGGAGCAATCCCAGGCACAGCTACAGGTTGGGCAGAGAAGAGATTCAGAGCAGCCCTGTGGAGAAGGACTTGGGGGTGTTGCTCGATGAGAAAATGAACATGAGCCAGTTTCAGTGTGTGCTCGCAGCCCAGAAAGCCAACTGTATCCTGGGCTGCATCAAAAGGAGCGTGACCATCAGGTCGAAGGAGGGGATCCTGCCCCTCTACTCTGCTCTTGTGAGACCTCTCTTGAAGTACTGTGTGCAGTACAGGCTGAGAAAGTTGGGCCTGTTCAGCCTGGAGGAGAGAAACCGTGTGGAGACCTCATAGCAGCCTTCCAGTATCTGAAGGGGGCTTATAAGGATGCTGGGGAGGGACTCTTCATTAGGGACTGTAGTGACAGGACAAAGGGTAAAGGGGTTAAAACTTAAACAGGGGAAGTTTAGATTGGATATAAGGAAGAAGTTCTTTACTGTTAGGGTGGTGAGGCACTGGGATGGGTTGCCTAAGGAAGTTGTGAATGCTCCATCCCTGGATGTGTTCAAGGCCAGGTTGAACAGAGGTGACATGGTTTAGTGTGAGGTGTCGCTGCCCATGGCAAGTGGGTTAGAACTTTATGATCTTAAGGTCCCTTCCAAACCTAACTATTCTGTGATAACTCTCCTCCTTTAAGCTTTTCCAGGAGTTTTTTAGTGTAAGAGAAAGGAATTAATACTGATGCAAAGGGATCTGCATACCAGCCTTTCTACATAAGCTGATAAGATATTCTCCATCATACCGGAAATAGTGATTCAGCTCAGTGGCTTCAAAATGCATTTAGCTAATTATTTTGTAGTTACCATGGCAGCTTGTGTGCCAAGCCCAGATGGTGCCCTCATTTCATTCAATCAGTAGTGGATTTGCTGTTTTAAAAAGAAATATGGAATGTGAATTGGCATCAGCTGCTTGCTATCCTCCTCAGTTTGAAACTCAGGATATACCTGTTGTGCTCATGCTTTCCTGATCTGCACTTGGCTGGTGCTGTTAGAAATTTCAGTTTCTCCAGATGCCTTGTATGCATTCCAGCAGTCATTCAGCCAGCCGCCTCATGCTTTTGTAAGGCTTCAGTTGGATAAGGCAAGAATGAATCCTTCTCTGATGTTGGTGGCCATGTAGAAAGCAGAAACTTCTAAAATGTAATGGCAGCATCTATTTCTAAGGTTATTCACTGGCTAAAAGTTAATTGCTGCCATAGCATCTTTGAATTCTTAAACTGCTTTCTGAACTGCTGGCTGACAATCTGGCTATTTCAGGTTAATAGCTACAGCGCAGTCAAACTGACCACTGAGGATGCCGTTGCTTTGCAGTTGCTGCTGAAGTCTGAGCAGCAGTTGCTGCTGAAGTCTGAGACTTGAGCAGAAAATGTTTTTCAAGATTCATAAAATTCATGAATATTGCATGCCACACTACCTCTAAAGAGGCTTCCTTTCCTGACAGGCCATCTGGTTAGAGTGACTGCAGCTTTCAGTCCCTTTAAGCAAGTCGTTGGATGTAGCTGCTTGGGAACACCCATAATCCAGTGTCCATTAACAGAAAACAATGTGATCTGTAGTACATGAAGTCACAATTAAGATTGTAATATTTCAAGGCAATTTGTAGGCACAGTATTTATGCATTTAGTATACATAAATAATGGTGTTTGCTGTCATGCCTTTACAGAGAAGGTATAAAGAGTAGGTAGTTTATCCTGTGCTTGACTCTTAGTCTTAAAAAAAAAAAAAAAACAACAACCCACGAGGATCCTGTGTTTTATTGTTAGAGGATTCTTTCACAGTTCAAAGAGAACAAGCTGTTTAGCTGTTATCTTAAAACAAAAGGTATATATTGGGGATTGAGAGGCAGATCCTTTATTGTGAGTTTGCCCTGTAGTCACGTAGCCTAATACAGTGTCTCTTACAGTAGCCGGTAGTTAAGACAGGTATAAGAACAGGGCTATTCAGGCTGTTGGAACAGAAATCTTCCCTCTAAGCTTATCAGTGATCTGGTAGTAGAGTACCATTGACCTAATAGAATCATAGAATATGGGTCAATATGCATCAGGTGAAGGGGGGGTGGTGGTGGTGAGAAATTGATTCAAAATATACGCTAATAAAATCTTCTAAATAAGAGCACAGTCTTTATATTTGGCTTTCCCCCCACATGCAGTGGAAGTCTGAAAATTCCAATCTTTATTTACGACGTCAAGGGTTGTAGAAATCGAAGTGCTACAGTTCTTATATTTTACTCACAATATAAATGCTTTGGTCTTTAAAAGTCCTGAAGAATTATTAGTTATTAGAATGAGTAATTAATCTTAAGGGCTTTTGCAATAACATCATTGCCTATTCTTGAGGTGATTAGAGTTGGAGAGTAAAAACAAGAGAAATCTTTGTTGGGGAGGGGGTTATTAACAGAGCTGAGAGGTACTCTACATGTTAAGTCTTGTTCCATTGTCCATCATTGCTCTCCAGTGCTGCTGGATTTTTTTTCAGCCCCAACAGATGAGATAGTAGGCCTGTTAAATTTAAGAACTTTGGCAGCAAATGGGAATGCTTTACAAGGATTGCTCTTTGCTTATGTGAATAATGCTACCAGTAAATTATCATGGAATAGTTAGGGTTGGAAAGGACCTCAAGATCGTCAAGTTCCAACCCCCCTGCCATGGGCAGGGACACCTCACACTAAACCATATCACCCAAGCCTCGTCCAGCCTGCTCTTGAACACTGCCAGGGATGGAACATTCACAGCCTCCCTGGGCAACCTATTCCAGTGCCTCACCACCCTAACAGGAAAGAATTTCCTCCTTATATCCAATCTAAACTTCCCCTGTTTAAGTTTCAACCTGTTACCCCTTGTCCTCTCACTAGTCCCTAATGAAGAGTCCCTCCCCAGCATCCTTGTAGGCCCCCTTCAGATACTGGAAGGCTGCTATGAGGTCTCCACGCAGCCTTCTCTTCTCCAGGCTGAACGGCCCCAACTTTCTCAGCCGATCTTCATACAGGAGGTGCTCCAGTTCCCTGATCATCCTCATGGCCCTCCTCTGAACTTGTTCCAACAGTTCCATGTCCTTTTTATGTTGAGGACACCAGAACTGCACACAATACTCCAGGTGAGGTCTCACAAGAGCAGAGTAAAGGGACAGGAAAAATTAATTAATTAATATGGCTGTAACATCCCCTTTTTAAGGATGATGAGGCTTTTACCACTTTCTGAAATCTTTTGACTACAGAATGCTGAGACATTTTGATTATCTTATTCTGCAGGTCCGCCTATTCAAGTAAATAGTTATTTCCAGCAAGAGTTTCCCAGTCTTCCGGCAGCTGGGGATCAGGAAAAGTCAGGCAAAGAGAAGGATGCACCTGAAGAACTTCATGGATCAGGACCAAGCTTGCGGCCACAAAGTAAGTATATACTGTAAATTTTTTTGAAATCACATGGGTTTGTGTGGAACTTGTTCATTACAAGGATACTTATGTCCCGTACAAAAGGAATTGATTTACTGATTGTTTTATTCAACACACTCCTACAGTGAAGAAACAGATTTTTTCACTTTCTTCTGCTTTACTGTGTTCCTGGTATGCAGAAAATAAGGTATTTGATCTTATTCTGCAGTTCACTTTCCATTTTCCTAACCTAGTCAGTACTTCAGTTGTGCTCGAGGAGCATTTGTTAGTTGCACAATACTGTCATTTTCTTAAATCCAGCTGCTAGATGTCACAACAGTTAAAATATGTATTTAAAGAACTCTCTTAATATTATAGTAGTTGTCATTAGAGTTGTCTCCAAGTGGTTAGTACTCAGTAGCCTGAAAAATCCCAAATAGGAAGTTAAATCTACAGGATACCAAAAGAGTGGACTGTAATTTGAAAGGCATTCACATCTTTAGCGCATGACTGAGGTGCTCTGACTAGCTGGATCTGTTTCAGCTGTGGGGGATTAGATCTAGTGAAAACAACCATAAGTGTTGGTTTTACATGTCTCAGTGAAGAAATATGTATTGTTTCCCCAGATCCTTTTAATGGGAAAGCATATGGAATTGTGCTTGTTTCCAGTGAAAACCAGGACTTCTTTCTTCCTTAAAAGTATTTCCAGTGAGGTTTGGTGGACCAGGGATCTCTTCCTGCACTGTAGGTAGCACTTTCTTGTGCCACTGATAGGCAAGATGGGCACTGTGCTTCTTAAGGTCCTTACTTGATTTTGATATAGAGAATAAGTTGCCAAGAAATGTGGGAGATGTCCAACACCAAATTAGGGAAATAGCTGTGTGTGTTTCTTCCAGCGTCCTACAGGCAGTTATAGTATTGGTCAGCACTGTACGTGCTGTATTAAGCCCTTCTTACAAATCTTGACAGCAGAAAGCTTGATGAATTTGGTGAGTACTGCCCCTTTAGCAGCCATGCTCCCCAGCAAAGATAAGTGGAAGAACTGTAATAGATACTTAGGAGCATAGTTTAACCCTACTTAAAGGGATTGTGCCCCTAATAGAACAGTCTTTACAGGGCATGTCTGAATTTTTCTTGGTCCCCATGGATCTGAGCACTGCTGTTTTTATTGCCCTAACCTATGCTCTGTAGGCGGAAACTGTAAAAAAAAAAGTTAAAATGGACTACCTGGCACAAGTCATTAAAATACCTTACTTTTCCTGGACTTTTTGCTAGACATTCACGCCCAGAAGCACAGTCCTCATCACTTCTATTTTATCCTTATCAGACAGAGATACAAGCCCAGACTCTGGATATCTGTCTTCACTTAGTAAGATAATGCACAGGTATATGTCATTTTGAGCCGCTTTGGTGTTTCATGGTAGGCCTTTGCTGCTTAAGAAGCTTGATCTTTCTCTTGACAGCATCTTCATACTGAGTCAACAGTGGCCCACTTACCACAGCTAAATCTGTTTTCTCTCCTGTGCTATTATTAGTATTGTTCCTAAACTGTGTTGTGTTTTGGAAGGTAGAGTAGGATGACTAGAGTGATCTATAAATTTAACTCTTACACTTCAGGAGCACAGCTGAATGTAGGGCTAAAGAGGATTAGAAAACAGCCTCTGTTTCATCAAGCAGTCATTGCTTTCGGTACCAGATATGAATGTGTGTCTGCACTGATTGCTGTGTTACTGAAAATGGGTAAGGAAGAGTGTGTTTTTTATTATGCCTGTCTGTAAATCCGTAGTATAAAGTTTGTTCTTGTTTTGTCTCGTACTGATTCTGCCCATGCAGATGCTACTAATTGGAGAGAAGGTGGTAATAAGAGCAACTCACCCAGTTCTCCAACTGATCAAGAAGCTAAGGCCCTTGGACAAGAAGATGGTAATGCTACACCAACAGAACAAAATGATGGCCAGAAGGCAGCAGAGAAGAGAGATGTGCGGTTACCACAGGTCCCTCAGCCCAAGCTGAATGGCCAGCAGCAACCACCTGTCTCTTCTCAGTACAGAGCAATGATGCCACCTTATGTAAGTGATGGTTACATGGAAGGTTTTAAAGCAGCAGGGATTGGTTATTGGCTAGTGTAATTTCTTCATGCCCCCTTTCATCTCCCTCCTTTCATCCTTTCATCTCCCTCCATGGAACACTTTAGCAGTTCTGCTAGAAGGTTGGGATTGCAACCAACTGCTCAAAGGATGTGGCTGCCTGTTGCCACTTGCAACACTGAGTTTCAATTTGTCAGGAGTTGGTTAACACTTGTAAACACTCGGTGACTTAATGTCACACACTTGAGATACTAAGCAAACTTAAGAGGCTTGCTTTACTTCCATTGTGATTCTTTTGATGATCTCAGTATGCTTAATGTAGTTACAATATTTAATGAATGGTTCCTGTTTTTAAACCTTTCTTAGATGTTTAATCAGTATCCTAGAATGGCATATCCTCCCTCCATGCAAGGTCCAACAAGGTTTCCCAATTCTGAGCTTAGCAGGTAAGAAACCTTACAAGTGTTACTGGTGCATGGGTATGAACTCTGTTAGTGACTTAATAACAAAAAAAAAAAAAAAAAAATTGCGCTGAGTATTTTGATTATGATCGTGCACCGCATAAGAACTGCTAATGGTTAGTCTCAAGTTTGGCTTGTGTGGAGCAGTGCTATGGAGTGATTTGTGTTTGATAACTCAACTATGAAACTTGAGGGAATTCTGCACATTACAGGAAGAGCAGGAGTCACTTGGGAGCACCTTTGAAACTTCAGCCAGTAGTTTCACCTGTAAAAGGACGCTTCCATTGTTACCATGAAAGTAGTTAGTTCCTGGTTCTCAACTCTACTGCTTTCCAGTTAAGGAACTCTAATGCATTATACCATTTATTTTCTTCATTTCTCCATAGCTGCGGATGTCTGTGCACATGCATGAGGAAATAGGGAATGCTATAGGCAGTAGGGTACAAACTGGGTGGGATCAGGAAGAGGACAGAAAGGCTGAGAGGGTTGGGTGGGAGAACTTGAGTTTAGGAGTAGGAGAAGGTGCAGAATCTTTGATGATAGGAAAGCTTGAAAAGTAGAAATATATCTGAGGTGGATTAATTGGTGTCAAGAAGGATGCCAGATCTATGTGGTGTGTTGTTTGAAAGCTACAAGGTATTTGATTTTTGACTGTAAACTGATGTTTGGCTTGTTTGTGAAGTAGGTAAGGCTATAGCATCTAATCTTCCTCTTCCTTAAGTAACCATCTGGTGTAGCAGTAATTATTGAAACTACAGCAGTCGCGCATGTGGATGACCTTTATACTGTATTGAGAGAACAGTACCATATACTTCAAATAATCATCATATAAGTTGACAATTTATCTAGTCATGTGGATAAATAATGACAGTGGCCATTGTTTTCCTCTCTTTTTTTTAGAGGGCCAAGGGGAAGAGGACCACCTTCATGGTGTTCGGAACCTATTGAGCGCCCATCCATTCTTAGTGCTAGTGAACTTAAAGAACTTGATAAATTTGATAATCTAGATGCTGAGGCTGATGAAGGCTGGGCAGGTAAGAACATAAGATTAATGATTTTTGTTATTTGTACAGTGAATCTTTCTGAAAGATTAATTGAATATTTGCTTATGGATCAGGTGCTCAGAGTGAAGTGGATTACACTGAACAGTTGAACTTCAGTGATGATGATGAGCAAGGAAGTAGTCAAAAAGAGAAGGAAAGTGGGTGAGTCGGTGTTGCCAATTAGGTGTGAATGCCACTTAGTGTTTGGAAAGGTTTAATGAAATGAGTGCAAGTGCTCATTCGAAAAATATTCCTGTAATTGAATACTGTATTAAATCACGTAATTGCCTGCAGACTCCAGTCAGCTGGTGGGCGTGTAGTAGTGTTCCTTGCTGTGAGATGCTTTTGCTCTTGCTAAAAAACATTGAGAATAGAAGATAAATCGCCAAATACCTATGTGGAGTACCCATTCCATTTTTCTTATTTCTCTGCACATAGTGATGAACAAACACCATCAAAAGATTCCCAGAGTCCTGATGGCCAGAAGGAAGCAGATGAACAGACAAGTGCTAAGTCTGCCACCCAGGTTTCCACAGCAGCAGCCAAAGGGTCATACGGCAAAAGTTCTCAGCTTGATCAGGTTTGTGTTCTTATCTTCAGCTCTTCTGGCAATAGCCTCATCAGGAAAGGTCCAGCTCAGGTGTCTTTACAGTTAGGTCAATTAAAATTATGAACATGAGTGAAAGCATTAGCTACTGAAAGAATTATCTGAGTTCTTGTAACCGATCAGGTGCTGCTAGGTCAACAAAATAAAAATAACATGTCTTTATCTAGTGTGTTCTAATTCACAGCTGTGAGGGGGGTGAGAACACTTGTGCCAGTGTGACTGAACTCATAAGCTTTAACTCAGTACCCTTGTCTGTCCATCCCTGTAACTGTGAATGAAGCTGTTCTGGTGTCATCATACTTCATAGTGGCACAGGGTAAATAGCACCCAGTTGACCCACGCATTTTTTTCAGGGTGTGGGTTTTTGGTTATTTTTTTGGGGAGTTGTTATTTTGTATCATGACCTGCTTTCCTCAGTGCAACTTAGCAGGAATGTGTCAGTTCACTTCTGATATCTCAGGCAGACAGATTTTTATACAGACCATGTAAAATGCATCAGCTCAAATGTTTCGGTTTTCGATTTACCCTCTGGTAGAGGAAGATTGACAACCACCTCAGCTTATGCCTACTTCAGTCCTCTTTAAATCTATTTCCCCTTCCTCTCCCCAGGAAAGCCTGCCATTGGCTTTATATTAAAATTTCCCAGAAATGTATTCTCTTGACACCAGTAATAACAAAGATGGGGGATCTTGAATTATTTTTACTTGTGCTTTCTCTATATGTAAAGAACATGTCTTTCAGGGTTGGATGCTACACTGAATCTGAGGAAAAATAGTGCAGTAACATGAAGTCTGGAATATGGATGTGTGAATTTTTAAAGTAATTGTTTAATGATCAGTACATAACATGAAAATTTTCTTGCCATTGTTTTACGTGGTTATTTGTTTCATGTGCAGATAGTTCTCTAGGTGTGGTATCTTAATGCAGTGGAAAACAGTAAATCTAAAATTTGTTAGCTTGACTGTTATGAGCTTGCTTAACTCTGGTGCTGTGTTTGATCCAATAGGATCGGGGTCCAGCACAGCCTTCTCTACATGAAAGAGGTGGTCCTGCTCTTCATCCAAAATCTATTCTACCACCGGTAAGAGAGATTAGAATTGTCTTTATTTACCTTAGTTAAATTCTTTAATGCTGTGTTGGAGGGATTTACAAAAGTAAAAATATGCTTTAGATAGGGATAAGCCTTTTCTTTAGCAAGAAAAATGATTGTAGTACTTGGCCAGTAAGAATGGGACCCCAACACAACTGTGCTGCTAATTGTGTAAAGCAATAGTTATATGAAATGCATGAGAGCTTCAAATGCTTTCAGTTATCCAACCCCTTTTGAGAACTAGAGAGGACAGGGGCTTAGGAGCAGTACTGAAGGGCTGCCTGCTGAGGCAGATGGGGAGATGAAGTCCCAGATAAAATGCGTACATAGTAGCTTCTTAGAATTCTTAACAGTCGTTATTAAGATCTCTTATCCTGAGCTACATGGAATTTCTTTGGCTTCTTGGGGAACTTTAGTCTGAGACCTGCCTTGAGTTTCTGTGATTAAGAGTGGCCTATAATCAAATCTAAAAGATGTTTATCTTTGCTGTCTGATGGGGAGGAGTGACATGAGCCTAGAGAATATTTACCTCTCCTTTCTGAGCTCATTTCTTCCAAATCTTGCTTTTTTATGGTGTCACGCAAATACATGTGCTGATAAATGGTTAAGTTATAGTATTTCAGCTGGCTGTTTATGTAACACATGTTCAACTTGACTCAACTGATTTTAATATTGCAGCACCCTCCTCCCCCTGATCGCCAGGTAGGACCTGGAAGGCAGGGACCCTTTCCCCCTAAACCAGTGCCAGATGAAGATGAAATTTGGAAACAGAGGAGAAGACAGCAGTCAGAGATATCCGCTGCAGTTGAACGAGCCCGTAAGCGGCGAGAAGAGGAAGAAAGAAGAATGGAAGAACAGCGCAAAGCAGCTTGTGCTGAAAAGCTAAAACGGTTAAATGAGAAATTTGGCTGTGTGACAAAACCCTCCAGGGAAGACCCTCTGAAGGAGCGGGAGAGGGAAAGGGAACGGGAAAGGGAAAGAGAGAGGGAAAGGGAGCGGGAAAAGGAGAGGGAACGGGAGAGGGAACGAGAGAGAGAAAAAGAGAGGGAGAAGGAAAAAGAGAAGGAAAGGGAGAAGGAAAAGGAAAAAGAAGAAAAAGAAAAACTGGAGAAGGCAAAAGAGCAAGAAGGAGAAAAAGAGAAAGAAAAGGAGATGGAGAAAGAAGAGAAGGAAAAAGAAGAGGAGAAACCAGCACATGAGGTTCCTGAGGCTGTAGAACCTGTGGCTACACATGTAGTAGAAAAACAAGAAAGTGAAAACAGGAATAACAAGGAAGAAAAAGGTATGTTTGCACACAAGTAGGAGCTGTCTGCCTTAAAGCTGAACCACAGAGCATAGTTGTAATCTGGGAGTCTAATTTGCATATCTTATTAACCCAGTGCATCTAGATCACTTACTTCCCTGGCATATTACAGCTACTAACTACTTTGAGCTAGACCCATTTACCCAGCTTATCAAAATGTTAAAGGAAAAATTTGGTTTATTGATTTAGGCTGGACTTTGAGGAATGTGGAAAGAGAAACAGGCTTTCTTTTCTTGATAAAGGAGGTTCAACAACTTGTGTTGCTAGAAAGCAATGTAAATTATTTCAGCTGTTCTGTTCTTTCAGCAAGCCTAGAGAAGTAAACATAAAGAGCAGGTAAACTTGATGCATGTTTGTAGTGGAACTGAAATGTCAGAGGAGAACTGCTAGACTGTGCTTAATAAGGTTGTGTTATCCTCTAAATGAGTAAAAGCGATTGTAAAACCAAACCTTGGTTCATTTAAAAAAAAAAGGTTAAATATAATATGGTTGCATGATACAGCCTTTTTTTAATTACTTGATAGTTACAACCTAAATGCTAGTGTTTGATTACCCAGTGTGTTTGAGTTTAAAAGGGGCACTGAGAGATGTACTAACAGCAGTTGTCCTGTTTGAGGGGTTGTTCTCAACATTTTTTTTTGCCTTTATTTTAGTTTTGGAAACTAAGACTGTGACAATAAAGAAGGCAGACTTTTTTATTTTAGGACAACATTCTTTATCTGACATTCTGGTGAAATTGTCATAGCCTAAAGATTCACATTTGTTTCCCACATGTGGATTTGTTGGGTTTTTGTTTTTCAGACGATCAGGCAGTCTTTACCCGACAAGATAGTGGTCGGAATGAGAAAGAGATTTCACAGGTGACTCATGAGAGTGAGCCAGATTCAGGATCTCAGCCTCGTCCTGCTGTTTCCTCAGGCTATTCTAAACAGTTCCAGAAATCATTACCACCAAGATTTCAGAGGCAGCAGGTAACTAATGAGTTAATTTAAAGAAGGAAGCTCATTACAAGAATGGTGTCTTTAGCCTTATGCTTAGCAAGAACATGACCATAGGAATTTCAGAAAGCCTAAGTTGTTGGTTTCCAGCTTCTGTAACATCTGTGGCATTGGCGGGACTTGTTTTGCGTGAAACATTTTTTGTCACTTGCAAAATAACGCAAGTGAGCAGAAAGCAAGAGAGGCTTTTGAAACTGGCCAGTTTTAGCATCAGTTGGTGGACGTAGAGCATTGCTCTGTGGTTGTCTGTGGAACCTGGGGTCTGATGATCATTATTTCTACAGCTTTTCCTTAAAAGCTGTGAAACTCACAAATGTAATTTTGATTTGGATCCTATGGTCTGAAGAGCACTTTGCATTAATGACACACACGAAGCATAGGTTGTTCAGTGTCACTGCTGAACATCAGCAGAACTGTAGCTATTCTAAATTGTCCAGTCTGGTTTACTCCCCTTTCTCCTACTTCATGCTGATGAGTGTTTGCAGTTAACTTTTGGAATGCTTAGTGTCCTGGAGATAACCATACTTGTGGTTTCCAAGGGTTATTTGAATTCTGCTTAAGTCTGTGTTTTGAAAGTCTTGTAATACTGCTTTCTGTTGCACAGGAGCAAATGAAACAGCAGCAGTGGCAGCAGCAACAGCAAGGTGTCCTTCCCCAGTCTGCTCCCTCACAGCCTTCTAGTGGCCCTGTCCCGCCACCCCAGCATAGACCCCTTTACCAGCCCATGCAGCCACATCCTCAGCATTTAGCTTCAATGGGCTTTGATCCAAGGTGGCTTATGATGCAGTCTTACATGGACCCACGAATGATGTCAGGAAGACCTGCAATGGATATGCCTCCTATTCATCCAGGTAAAATCTGGCAGGATTTTTTACTACTGAGCTTTCCTGCTTTTGAAATAGAAATATGTATACACATAGAATCACAGAATAGTTAGGGTTGGAAAGGACCTTAAGATCACCTCCCTGACAGGGCACGGACACCTCCCACTAAACCATGTCACCCAAGGCTCTGTCCAGCCTGGCCTTGAACACTGCCAGGGATGGAGCGTTCACAATTTCCTTGGGCAACATGTTCCAGTGCCTCAACACCCTCACAGTAAAAAACTTATTCCTTATATCCAATCTAAACTTCCCCTGTTTAACCCGTTACCCCGTGTCCTCTCGCTACAGTCCCTAATGAAGAGTCCCTCCCCAGCATCCTTGCAGACCCCCTTCAGATACTGGAAGGCTGCTATGTGGTCTCCGCTCAGCCTTCTCTTCTCCAGGCTGAACAGCCCCAACGTTCTCATCCTGTCTTCATACGGGAGGTGCTCCGCTCCCCTGATCATCCTCGTGGCCCTTCTCTGAACTTGTTCCAACAGTTCCATGTCCTTTTTATGTTGAGGACACCAGAACTGCACACAATACTCCAGGTGAGGTCTCACAAGAGCAGAGTAGAGGGGCAGGATCACCTCCTTCAACCTGCTGGTCACGCTCCTTTTGATGCAGCCCAGGATACAGTTGGCTTTCTGGGCTGCGAGCATGCACTGAAACTGGCTCATGTTCATTTTCTCATCGAGCAACACCCCCAAGTCCTTCTCCACAGGGCTGCTCTGAATCTCTTCTCTGCCCAAGCTGTAGCTGTGCCTGGGATTGCTCCGACCCAGGTGTAGGACCTTGCACTTGTCATGGTTAAACTCCATGAGGTTGGCATCAGCCCACCTCACAAGCGTGTCGAGGTCCCTCTGGATGGCATTCCTTCCCTCCAGCATATCAACCAAACCACACAACTTGGTGTCATCGGCAAACTTGCTGAGGGCGCACTCAATCCCACTGTCCATGTCAGTGACAAAGATGTTAAACAAGACCGGTCCCAACACCGACCCCTGAGGGACACCACTCCTTACTGGTCTCCAGCTGGACACTGAGCCATTGACCACAACCCTTTTCATGAGGCCATCCAGCCAGTTCTTTATCCACAAAGGGGTTCATCCATCAAATTGATGTCTCTCCAATTTAGAGACAAGGATGTCATGCAGGACTGTGTCAAACGCTTTGCACATGTCCAAGTAGATGACATCGACTGCTCTACCCCTGTCCATCAGTTCCGTAGCCCCATCATAGAAGGCCACCAAATTGGTCAGGCAGGATTTCCCCTCAGTGAAGCCATGCTGGCTGTCACCAAGCATCTTGTTGATTTTTCATGTGCCTTAGCATGCCTTCCAGGAGAATCTGCTCCAAGATTTTGCCAGGCACAGAGGTGAGACTGACTGGTCCATAATTCCCTGGGTCATCCATTTTCCCCTTCTTGAAAATGGGGGTTATATTATCCTTTTTCCAGTCGTTGGGAACTTCACCTGACTGCCATTATTTTTCAAATATGATGGACACTGGCTAGGAACTTCATTCGCCAGCTCCTTCAGGACCCACAGATGGATTTCATCAGGTCCCATGGACTTGTGTACGTTCAGGTTCTTAAGATGGTCTCGAGCCAGATCCTCTTGTACAGTGGGCCTAAGGTCTTCATTATCACTGTCCCTGTGTCTGCCTTCCAAGACTTGGGTGGTGCGGTCAGAGCATTTGCCTGAAGATGCTCAGAGCATGAAGACTGAGGCAAAGAAGTCATTAAGAACCTCAGCCTTCTCCAAATCCAGGGTAGCCAATTCTCCTGATAGCTTCCGGAGAGGGCCCACATTGTCCCTAGTCTGTTTTTTATTTGCTACATACCTATAGAATCCCTTCCTGTTATCTTTCACATTCCTAGCCAAATTTAATTCTAACAGGGCCTTAGCTTTCCTAACCTGGTCCCTAGCTTTCCAAACAGCATCCCTGTATTCTTCCCAGGCCGCCTGTCCTTGCTTCCACCTTTTATAAGCCTCTTTTTTTTTTTCCCCCTGTAAGTTTCCTCAGCAGCTCCTTATCCATCCAAGGAGGTCTCCTGGCCCTCCTGCTGCACTTCCTTCTAGTCAGGACGCAACACTCCTGAGCTTGTAGCAGGTGATCCTTGAATATCAACCAGCAGTCGTGGGCCTCCCTGCCCTCTAGGGCTGTTCCCCATGGAATCTTACTAAGCAGGTTCCTGAAGAGGCCAAAGTCTGCTCTCTTGAAGCCCAGGGCAGTGAGCTTGCTGCACACTCTTCTCACTGTCTTGAGCATCTTGAACTCAACCATCTTATGATGACTGCAACCAGAGCTGCCCTGGAGCGTCACATTTCCAACCAGCCCCTCCCTGTTGGTAAGCACGAGGTCAAGCATGGCACTTCTCCTTGTTGGCTCTTCTGTTACTTGCAGAAGGAAGTTGTCTTCCACACAATCAAGGAGCCTCCTGGATTGCTTGTGCCAGGCCATACTGTTCCTCCTGCAGATGTCAGGGAGGTTGAAGTCCACCATGAGGACAAGGGCCTGCGAGCATGAGGCTGTTCCTATCTGTCTGTAGATTACTTCCTCCACAGATTCCTCTTGATCAGGAGGTCTGTACCAGATCCCCACAGTAATGTCTCCCATCACTGTTCTCCCTTTAGCCCTGACCCTCAAACTCTCTGTTGCCTGCTCACCTGTTCCCAGACAGAGTTCCATACTCTCCAGCCTATCTCTAATATAAATAGCAAGTCCCTCTCCCTGTCTGCGGGGCCTATCTTTTCTAAAGAGCCTGTAACTTTCCATTCCAACACTCCAACCATAGAAGCCATCCCACCATGTTTCTGTGATGCCTGTTATATCATACGCCCATAGATGTGCGCACATCTCTAACCCTCATTTGTTCCCCATACTACAGGCGTTTGTATAGAGGCATCTGAGCCGAGCTCCACATGAAGCCGGCTCATTGGCTGGAGCGGCTGGGATATCTCTGTATTGCTCCCAGCATTTATTAAAGGTGCTCGCAGCTGACTGGGTGTGTTGGGATGGAATGATGCCCCCCTCCCGCAGTACATCTAGTTTAAAGTTTTCTTGACTAGTCTGGCAAGCCTCCTACCAAAACGGCTGTGTACGTATTATACACTATATATAGTGACAGAGAGTGGGTGGGTTTTTTAAAACTATATTATTTTATTGCTTGGGAGAAAATAGATTTTAATAATACAAAAAAAACCATAATTTTTTGTTACTTGATTCTGAATGAGCAGCTCTAGAGTCTTACTATATTTGTGTCTTCAGATTCTTGGCGCTTTTGAATTTGTGGGATGGCTGTCTGACATGCAGTTAGGAAAGCTATTGTGCACAAATAATACAAGTCTGGCATGTAATGTAATGGAGATACTTATCAAGCTAATGAGCATAGGATATCCTGTATAAGTCCAAGGAATGAACAGAGGAAGTGGCAGGTTAAGCAAAGACAGTGAAAATTGTTGAATTTCTTTAAAAATGCTACACCCCCTTCCTTCCTCTTCCCCCACCACCAAAAAAAAAAAGGGCCTACAGTACAAAAAAGCATGTGTGTGTATGCTCATGTTGCCTTTTGCCATTCAGATTTTACAGCAGAAAGGTCATCTACAAGTGTACAAGTTTACAGACCTGGTTCTTTCCCTTATAGTAGAAGCAGACAGCTTTTCCTTTTGGCACATAGGGTACTAGTAGTGAATATGATTTAGTAATTCAGAGGTCACCTGGCACTAAATAAACATTTTGTTTCAACAGTGGAAAGAAAGGAGATGGAGGAGAGAGAATAGTGTTTTTCAGTACCTTCTGATACGCTTTGTCTGTCTTCAGGTAGATTTCTTTGCTAATGTTAAATGTGTTTTGATTTTTGAACTTAAATCTGTCACAGGAATTATGCCTCCGAAACCACTGATGAGAAGAGACCAGATAGAGGGATCAGCAACTAGTTCAGATTCATTTGAACATATAGCTCGCTCAGCAAGAGAGCACACTGTTCCTTTGTCAGAGCCCCGCATGATGTGGGGGTCAGACCCATATCCCCATGCAGAACCTCAGCAGTCTAGCTCTCCTCCCAAAGTGTTAGAAGAGCCTGACAATTTGAGGTAAGCCCAGGTTATGTAGTCCTGCATGTCGCTTCTCCAAGACATACATATTTACGCACTTGGCTGTGTAACTTAGGTTGCAAAACACAGTTTAAACTTACTGGGTTATAGCTGTTCTCGGCCCAAAAGGAGTTGTGACTGGCGATGCAGTGTTCTTGGCGCTGTTGTATAAAACAGAAGATATGCCTGCTCTGTAGTAGGGTGTATAAAGACAATTTACCCCATGATATTTTGAATTTTCAGTTTTGTAGAACAATTCTACAATGTTGTCCTGTTCTACGTCTGCCCTGCATCCTCCCTGTACCAGAGAACTTCTGTCTGATGTATATTAGTTTCAAAAGTGGTGTGTTAAATACAAATGAATTTAAGCAAGACAGTTACTTTTGACGTTTGTTGCGTGATGAGTGGTCAGGAAGGCTTCCTCTACATCTTTAAAGTACCTTGAATTTTCTTTTCTGTACTGCTGTCTGAGTAATACTTGTGATATTCACCTGCCAACTTTGGGCCTCCATTTAAAATTGCACATATGGCTGTTAACACTTAAGAGACTTGCATAGCTGATTGTGCATGTGGCACTGAACTCTTAATCAGTACAGAATTGACCCCTACAACTGGCAGCCACTATGAAAATTAATACCTGTTATTTTCTAGGGCTGACATTAATCCTTCATTGAAACAGAAGATTTATTTCAGTAAACGTGAGTAGAATTTTTTCCTTCACCCTAATGTTCTTAATTGTTTGCTGCTTAGGTCTGAGGCACACTTGGAGCAAGAACGAGTTGCTGTCCCTGCCACTGCTTATCCTGTAGAACACAACCAGTTGGACTCGCATCCAAAGACAGATTTTTTCAGAGAATCAGGAGAGATGGAGGTACAAAAGTTCCCAAGCAGGCCTTTGGAAGATGTACAACCTCTCCAAACTGACACACCTAACACAGCAGTTAATTTTGAAGGAGTAAAGGAGAAAGTTACACGTAGCTCTCCAGAAGAACTGGTGCCTGTAGGGGAAAGTCACTCGTCACTAAAGAGAAGCATTTCCCATGGTTCAAGTCACTCTCTAAAGTCAGAAGACCAGAGGAATGAAACAGCAACAAATATACCTAAATTAAATAACAGGCCTCTTGAGACAAAGGAGACAATTGAGAGACTTGAGATTAAGCCAAAAAAAGAAATTCTGATCAATAGTAGAACGCTAGAAGGACTAAAACCTGAAAAAACTTTCAAACCTAAGTCTGAAACAAGATGGGGTCCTAGGCCGGGTTATGGCAGGAGAGATGAAGGTGGTGATAGACCAGTAAGAAGATCAGGTCCTATTAAAAAACCTGTGCTTAGGGATATGAAGGAAGAGCGTGAACAGAGAGAGGAGCGTGAGCAGAGGAAGGAGAAAGAGGGAGAAAAGACAGCTAATGAGAAATCTAGCAAGCCTGAAAAAGGTGACAGAAAGGAAGCATCTCAAGTGCCACTGCTTCAGACTGAGCCAGAGATATCTGTCTCCAGTGGCACTCCTCTGGCTAAGAAGACAACCCAGGATACTGCTGTGACCCTGACAAGCCAAGAGAGGGGTCAAGCTGAGACTGCAGCTAAAGCACTGGTTCAGACACCCACACCTCCAGTCCCGCAGCAGCTACCAGCCGCCCAGCCTGCTGCTCCACAGCTTCCCCCTGCAGTACAGCAGCAGCCACCAGCTCAGCCAGCAGCACAGCAGCAGCCACATGTTCAGCAGCCAGCTGCTGCAGTGAAGGAAGAAAAGCAGACTGAGAAGGTGGTTAGCAAAGAGGGTTTAGAAAAACCACGCTTAGAAACCAGACCAGTAAAAAGAGAGCCTGGCTTGCCACCTAGGACATACTGGAAAGAGGCTAGGGATAGAGACTGGTTCCCAGATCAGGGATACAGAGGCAGAGGTCGTGGGGAATATTATTCTAGAGGTCGTAGCTACAGGGGTTCTTATGGAGGACGTGGTCGGGGCAGTAGAGGCCATAATAGAGAGTACCCACACTACAGAGATCCTAAGCCTAGATCAGACCATGTGCCTTCAGGGCCTGTTAGGCAAAGAGAAGAGAGTGAAACTCGCAGTGAGAGTTCTGACTTTGAAGTAATTCCGAAACGGCGGCGACAGCATGGTTCAGAGACGGATTCTGACAGCGAAGTTCATGAAAGTGCAAGTGATACACTGCTTTCAGACAAAGACAGTCTAATCAAAGGCAAGCACCCAAAAAGAGAAGACAGAAATGATGGTAAGAAGCCTCCAAAGGTTCTGTCGTTCAAACCTGAAAACAGTATCAGAGTAGACAACAGATCTCTAGAAAAAACATACATTAGAGATGATGATAACAAACCCAAACCAGGATTTCTTCCTAAAGGAGAGCCTTCTAGACGAGGCAGAGGGGGAATGTATAGACGTGGTGGTAGGGATCCTGGTGGGCGTCCTCCACGTCCATCCACAATAAGGAGACCAGCCTACAGAGACAGTCAGTGGAACCCTAGGCAGACAGAGATCATTAAACCAGAAGATGGGGAGCCTCCAAGAAGAAATGAACATTATGGTCCTATACCAGTTGATAAAAGACCTCCAAAATTTGAGAGAAAGTTTGATCCAAATAGAGAAAGACCACGAAGACAAAGACCTGCTCGGCCTCCAAGGCAAGATAAGCCGCCACGCTTTAGGCGCCTAAAAGAAAGAGAGGCTGCATCAAAGGTAAATGAGACAGTAACCAGCACATCAGCAGGTGCAACAGTTAGTAATACAGTTAATGAACCCACTACCACTGCTCTGGATGTGTCGGAAAGTAAGACACCAGACTTGTCCAACCAGAATTCTTCAGACCAGGCAAATGAAGAATGGGAAACAGCCTCAGAAAGCAGTGACTTCAATGAGAGGCGGGAGAGGGACGAGAAGAAAACAGCAGATGCAGCAGCACAGGTGGCTGCAAAGGCAGGAGAAAATGCTGGAGCTCCAAAAAGGGAAATAGCCAAGAGAAGTTTCTCTAGTCAGCGGCCTGGAATAGACCGTCAAAACCGACGTGGCAACAATGGGCCAGCTAAACCAGGGAGGAACTTCTCAGGGCCTAGGAGTGAAAGGCGGAGTGGTCCTCCACCCAGAAGTGGGAAGAGAGGGTGAGCACAAACTTCTGTTAGCATACATGGTCAGGGTCTTCTGTTGTCCGCTTGTGACCCAAAATCATAAGTGTAATCTTAGATTAGTAGAACGACAGAAAAGAGTAAGAAACACATGCATCTGTGGCTGTGTACTCTTGGGCTTTTTTTGGTTATTTTTGTATGCAGACACTTGGAACATGGAGCTAAGAGCAGAGTATTCTTGTATGCACAGTGTTTAAAAATGCCTAATTAAAAATCTGCATTGAAGTGCTGCTTAAGTTGAGCTATGTTTTTCAAGATTTGGATGCAAGCTAGAATAGTAATGTGTGGTTTGGCAGTTGATACATAAACTGCTGCATTGCCTTTAAGATCACTCAACATAAACAGACATATTGAGAAATGCTTGCCATTGAGACTGAACTTGGTTTTACTATGTGCTAAATTTGACTGACACCTGGTAATTATCTAATGCTACTATTTGCCCACTGTTTTCATGCCACACTGCATGGTAGTCTGGTAAGTGGGAAGCAGGACAAGAACTTTTTCCATTGAATGTCTACACTGTACTCAAAGAATCCTGTGTGTGTAGGTTGCTGTAGTCTTAAATTCAGGTTTTGCCTGAGCTTAAAAACTTGTGATCAGTGCTTTTATCTCCAAATTAAATCTATTAAGAGTTCCTTTGGCTAGTCACCTAATGGAGATGTTAAAGCAAAAAGTGGGTATTACGGGTTCCACAACAAAGACAGAATGCTGAAAATCTGACTTGTGGATTCACATAGCTTTTGGGAAGTGAGCCTGTGGAGTAAGTATATTGTGCCTTGTTTATATTTGCTCACATTGCATACTGTATGCTTCTAGTTAGCTTGGGGTTTGATTTAGTTTTGTTGTTTTTTGGTTTGGTTTGGGTCGGGGTTTTTTTGTATTTTTTTTTTTTTTTCATGGATTTACTGCAGTTGAAGTATACTGAACTGCATCCTTGTTGAGCTTTGGTACCTCTAATTGCATAGACCAAGCCAGAGGTGACCTTCAGATCATGTTTTGGGTTTTTTTCCTGTGATTCCTTTTGGCAGCAGGGCTTTGATACATCCCCAGAACAGCTTTTGCTGTTAAGCTGCTTCCCACTGAAGAGCTGAAAGTAGAAAGCTTGGAGCCTACTAAGAAATTGCACAGTAGGCAAAGCCCTACAGTAGGATCTGCATTAGGTTATTAGCTTCTTCCTGAGTGTTCTCTGTGGCTGATCATTTTGTCACATTTTTTCTAATGTAGGCCCTTTGAAGAGCAGACAGCAACTGTGCCTAGTGTCGATCCCACCAACAGCAACTCTTTGCATCAAGAGGATGGAGGTGTTACTGCTGCAGGCCAAAAGAGCACCAAGGATGCAACTAGCAAAAAGAGAGAAGAACCTAAGGCTGGTCCAAAGAAGCCTAAGGAAAAAGTGGATGCCTTGTCTCAATTTGATCTTAATAATTACGCAAGTATGTATTGGTAATATCCTAACAAGAATTTGTAATCCTGCTAGATTTGCTGCATACAGAACTAGATGTTTGAAAACTTACAGGAAAGTGATTTTTTTTTTTTTTTTTAATACCAAAATAATTATGTACTTGAGTATTGGTACCTTTGTCATTATCTAATTAATGTGTGTGCCTCTGAAGTGGCAAATCTCATTGTGTATTTTTATGAACAATAAAGATAAGAACAATTTTGTTCTATCACCTGATCTTAACTCTATCATTCGTACCGTTTTCCACCACATTCTTAATTTGCTTAACCTTCATAAACAAAGGCAGTGGATATCACTGATATCCCTTATAGCTAATATGTGAGGAAGGCTGTTCATTATTATGTTTTAGTTCTTACTTCATGGAGAGTCTTGTGTAGGAACCTCCAGTTTTCAGTTCTTAAGGATTAACTCCTCGTCTTCAAGCTCAACATCAAAGCATTCTGGCAAGCAGAAGCTTACCTCTAATCAGGACCAATATCTGCGGGGAAATAGCTTCCACTCTAAAGCAGATTTTGGCTTGGTGCGCTGCATCTGAAGCCGTTAAAACAGCAGCATCTATACCTTTACTTATATTTCTGTAGGTGTTGTGATCATTGATGATCACCCTGAAGTGACAGTAGTTGAAGACTCCCAATCTAACTTGAATGATGATGGTTTCACAGAAGTGGTGTCTAAGAAGCAACAAAAACGCCTGCAAGATGAAGAGCGTAGAAAGAAGGAAGAACAAACAGTGCAGGTATAAGACCAGCATTTATAGTGGGGAAGAGCACCTTGCGGTACTGGGAATGTTGTGAAGTGTGCAGTATCTTCCTTCCAAAGAAATTGTATTTTCAACTTATAAAATATAATCGGATACCTGTATTAATATGAAGTTGTTCAGAATTAGTAAATAATATTAAGTTTTACTTAGTCATCTTTGTGTTCTGTGCTTCCTGATTGGGCACTGCCAGGCAGGTGAAACTGGCAAACTGAAAACACTATTTTTCATACTGTGATAAAGATTTGTACTATTGCTTGTATATTGGTTGGTTCCAAGAGGAAAATGGAAGAGAAATCATTGCTCCTGTGATTAAATACCCCTAAAAAAATAAAGTTCTTTAAGCCAGGGTTAATTAGTTTGCTTTTTGCTATGACACAATGTACAGTTGGTTGTCTGTACAGAGTTATCAGCTGTAAGAATAAAATTGGCTTCTGCTTACAGGTGTGGACCAAGAAAGGATCAAGTGAAAAAGGCCGAGGTCAGAATTCCAAGCTCCCACCCAGATTTGCCAAAAAGCAGCAACAGGCAGCAGCCGCAGCTGCACAGCAGGCACAAGCTCAGGCACAAGCTCAGGCACAGCCTCCGTGTACAACGCAGACTCCGGGTCAGCCACCAGCTTCTGTTCAGCCACCAAACCAGGCTGCAGGAGGAACAGCCAGCACAGAGTACACAGTGTCAGGCAAAGTTCTTCAAAACACTCAGGCTCACAATGGTCTGGGAGCTGAATTATGGGAAAACAAGGTGCCTCCCTCAGCAGTTCTAAATGACCTCTCCAAAAAATGTAAGTGGTGTCTTTCAGATTTGGGATAGGGCAAGCACTGTAGTTAGAGATTGCTGATTGCCAGCTCTCTCTGTTGATGTCTCATTTCTACCTGTATTGTGTGCAGGGAATACATGGCAGCATTCCCAAGTGCAGTGTTGTAACCTATGAATACCTCTGAAAGGAGATTTTTGCGGTACAATATTACTCAGTGGTTTACATTATTTTCTTTGTTCACTATGAATGAGCAACTGTCACTACTTTCGGAAATCTGTTTTATTAGGCTTGGTCATATTTCTAAACATGATGACTGCCCCACTTGGAAATAGCTAAATAGGTAGCATATTGTTAACTGCTAAATAGGTTAACAGTTTCTTCACCAAAGCTTATTAATAAACACATCTATAATTTAATTCTCAGTCAATTGATAACTTCAGTCAAAAGCATTTAGCAACATTGAGGGCGGGGTTAATCCTCTCTTTTCTTAATTGTCAGTGGGACCCATTAGCCCACCTCAGCCACCTTCCGTCAGTGCTTGGAACAAGCCTTTGACATCTTTTGGTTCAGCTACATCTCCAGAGGTAAGAATGAAGAGAAGAGTAGCTGTATATGAAGTTTACCACAGTTACGTCTCATTAGAAGTGGGTACAGATTATCCCTTTATTCAGACATGCACTTAACTAATAAGTGTAGAATTCCGTGAAGTTGGAAGATAGTACAGAAATGCAGGATACAGGCTAGTGCTTTTGTGACTGCAGCATAGAAAAACATTTCTCTGTAATGAAAACTTAGCCATTCACACGTTCTGTTGATAGGTGTTATTCAGTGCATTTTTTAAGTAAAAATACTGCTTAGTTTGCATGTGAACACTTGTGTGCAGTTCAGTAATGTAGATGGAAACAGGAACTAAATGCTTTTGTATCCCTTCTTAAGTCAGTGGTACAAGAAGCAGTAGATGCTTTCTTTCTGTGTTAGCCCTACTTATCCTATGGAATTTGCATAGCCCTAAATTTACATTTGAAGTCCTGTGGTTTTGTTGGGCTTTTTAGGTCTTGACTTTGTTTTAGACAGTAAGAATGTGACATAACTCTTAGGGGAGACCATTTTAACTGCATAAGGAGATCTGGAAACCTTCAATTTCTTATTGTTCCTCTTGAACATTAATTCTTGATTTTTCAGGAGAATGTTGTGAACCTGAATCTGGACATTTTAATATGGCATTTGTCCCTCTCCCCCTTCTCTATCAGTTCATTAGCTTGATCTTGTTTACGTATTTCTTCATTGCTTCTTTTTTCTTACATTTGAGCTTGTATGAACAGTAGGAACTTGAGGAGGAGGAATTATACATTCATAGATTGTTTACTCATGCAGATGTGTTGCAATTACAAATAATACTTTTGCTGGCAGAAGATAAAAGTACCCTTTTAGTGGTTTTTGACTGGGCATATTTGGTGCTCTTTTCTGAACCACTGGCATTGTACTGATCTAGAAAACTTTTAAAATATGTTTAATGTTTACTTTTTAACTAGGGAACAAAGCCTGGGCAAGAAGGTGGAGTTGATCTTGGTATAGAAACTATTCAGTTTGGAGCCCCAGCTTCCAGTGGCAGTGACAATGAAGTTGTCCCTGTACTTTCTGAGAAGTCCACTGATAAGCTACCAGAGCCAAAAGAGCAAAGACAGAAACAGCCTCGGGCTGGACCCATCAAAGCACAAAAGGTAAAAGGTCCAATCTTTGGTACAAACTTTTAAACTTCAAGAAGTTCAGGCGAAAAGAGGTTACAAATAATGGAATAGAGTACTCCTTCAGTTAGGACTAAACTGATAAAAATTGCATTTCCCTTTTATATTTCCTAAAACAATCAACAAGTTGGTTCTTGGAAAGAAGACGGGGAATTCAGTTCAAGAAGCAGGTGTAAGTAAACAATATCCTCGCCTAGCAGAGTTTGTCCATTGATTCTGTGTTTGGAGAAAAGGACATGGCTAGAGCAGGGATGGGAGTACAGATGTGCAGTAGCTTTGTTGGGAGACTGGATGTGGTGGAGTGTTACAGTTTTGTTTTGTAGTTTGGGATTTTTGGTGTTTTCTTGAGTTTACTACATTCGGGCTTTGAGAGCAGTTTTGAAGCAGTTTTCTGCCCTGGCTACATCTACACAGTTTTCTCTGTTTCTTCCTGCCACCATGCCAGCCTCATCCTCCTCCAAATGACGCACGGGGCCCTGCTTAGTTTTGTAGCCAGGTTACCAAGATGAGTAAAACATCAAGTTACAGGAAAGTAGTGTTTTGAGGAAAGGGAAGAATGTGGGGGCAACTAATTTGAAGTCTCAAATTCTAATGCCAATGTCTGGATAATTAATTAATTTTTTTGCAGCTAATCTAGGAAGACTAAATAGTTAATCAAATTTATCTCAACCTAAAAAAAAAGTCACTTGCCCTTCAGAGATTTAGGCACTCCATTTGATCGTTATCGTCATCTTGTATTTCCGTTGCACTCATAAGGAGTAATGCTTTCACCTCCTGTCATTTAGATTACACTTGGTGATCTTTCAGGTTAATGAAATGTATTTTCCTGTTATTTCCACCTCCAGTGCATATTTATCTATGCATTGCTAGTACACAGCACCAGCTTCTTACTCCCAGAAAGAGATGGTTACAGCAGATGCACTTGGCTGGTGACTTAAAGAACTAGCTATTTCAATCCTTCTCAATGTCTGAGATTTGGCAGCAGTCCTGATGTAATTAAAGCCCTTTCTTTAGTTTTCTGGAAGACCGGGTGTTTCTTTTGTTGGTTGTGTTTGGATTGGTTTGGGCTTTTTTCCCCTAAAAAAAAAAAACTGTAATCTGAAAGTGCAGTCACGTACAGAATGAATTTAACTTCTACTGCATCAGGCACTCGGTGGGTATGTTGCAGTGCATGGTTTTTATTGCAAAATATAAAACTGATACTGCAGGGAAATAGGCAGTATTTAATACTGCTGGTGAATTGTAGTAACCCAGCACATTAAAACCCCATACCTCAGGTATACTAGCAACATGCTTAAAACTGCCCCTATGAAATCACTTAAAGATGCTGAGCCCTGAATTTAAATATATATAGAGTTTACACTGAGTTCCTCTTTTCTTCTTCATTATAGCTATTAAAGACTCGTGTAGATCTTGTTGAAAGACAAATGTGTGACTAAATGGTAAATTCATTGGGGTTTAATATTTGTGTGTACTCTTCTGAATGAGAGGGCTGTAATCCTTTAACTGTCTTGCTGACGAGAAAAAAAGCCCAACAAACAGTTCCTACACACCCAGCACCCTCATTGTGATATTGTTCACTATGAAGCCTAAATACAAATTTATGTTTGAGACTGCAGGAGTGTTGAACTAATACAGGCAATGTAAGAGGACCATACGTGAAACAAAACTATTTACCTTTCCAAGTATGACCTTAGTGTCTGGAGAGATTTCTGCCTCTATAAATTGTTAGAGCAAAAAATACTTGGGTTGAGGTGGGTCTAATATTCCTGATGGCTGCATCACAGAGCTCAGGCATCTGCTTTTATTGTTGGTTTCTTCTTTCCCTCAGAAAGCTAGTCTCTGCTGACCTCCTGAGAGTACCAAATACCTCCAGGGAAAATCCAACCTCCCCAAAGCCCAAAGACACTGTATTGTAAAGAGTCTTCATCTAACTCCTGAAGCAGCTCATTGTATTTCTAGAGACAATACCAGTAGCTTTGCTTTTTCCACCGTCAAAGGAATGAGATTTTAAGGACTGCCTTTAAGGAATTTTTGAGCTGCTCTGTAGTGAATAGTGCTGACTAGTCTCAGCCAGAAAGGATGTGGCAGAGCATTCAGGTTCCCTGAGGTCTTTCATTCTGCTTTAATTCAGCTGTACAAAAAGGAACTACTGAATTGCAGCAGTTATTCCAGCCATGGTGTCTCTGCAATATCAGGCAACACTTGCGTGTAGGTGTTTTATTTTTCCTGGCTATCCCCTTAGAGCTCAGTTCCTAGGAAAAAATGCTGCCAACATCCTTACATCAAGATATCTTTAAGTGAAGTTAGAGTCTTCTGTTCTAGTTTCCTGGGGCCCTGCAAAATCGTGATTCTCTGAAAATTTAAATAACCTGTATGTATATGAAGTCTTGTGGCTTTTATACTTTGTTGTGCTTCTCTTTTAAGGAGAGTCAAGCTGGCTTTCTGCTGTAGGTTTTAACTAGATCTTTAGTCGAAGTCTGTCACTTCACATGAAACATGTATTGTTTGTAAACAAGAGTTTAGATTCTTAATGTTAAAAATGAATGCATTTCATGCATATTGCTAACTTAGCCTCAAATTATTTATCTGTTAGAAAATGCTTATTCTTCAGAAAAGTTTTGTCAAAATTATTTTAAGCATGTTAAAATATTCTTGTGGAATAGGACACAGAGGGGGAGAAATAACTGACAAGTTAACACTAACTTAGCTTCCAGACTTGAGTCCAGTAGAAAACAAAGAATATAAACCTGGTCCTATTGGGAAAGAGCGTTCTTTAAAGAACAGGAAGGTGAAGGATGCCCAACAGGGAGAGCCTGAGGGACAGGAGAAGCCATCTCCCACCTCTGTCAGAAGTCCAGAGCCTGTCACTACAAAGGAAACCAAAGCAGCAAGTGAACTAAGCACGGAAATAGGAACGATGATATCTGTGTCTGCTCCAGAGTTTGGAACAAACACAAAGGTAAGAAAAATACAGCCACATTACTGAGCACTATATATAAAGTGTTGCTACAGTGATGTAGTTTACATCTGGTTGTGTGCTGGTGGTTCCTGGACAGCAGAGCCCACTGAATAGCAGATGTGAAACATAGTGGTACTGCTTGAATTAAACAGTTTGCCAGAAGTGGTACAGAGACATGCTGTTTTCATGCCCCTGTATAAAGATCAGCTTGGAAGGTTTTAAAACTTTTTTTTGCTGCCTTATGAATGTGGAATCTCTGTCCTGAGCCATGCTGCAGAGAGTAGTGCTGGAGCCTGGTATAGGCAGATTCTGTAAATTCACATGTATGTGATATATGCAGGATGAGTGCTTGATTTTAGCACAGAACTGGAGTAGTGTGTGCAATCATTGGCTGAGTGCATGGGTGAATTGAAGCTGTGAATTAAGTGCTGTTCTGTGAAAAAAAGAAATCTCTAAAGTTAAAGTGTTGGATAAGGCTTGCTTGGTTACCTAAAAGGTCTGTATGTCAGCTCCTGTTGTCTTGGATATTGTGAAGAACTCTTTCAGGATTTGAGGACTCGGTTGTCTGCATGGAACTACCCTGCCTTCTCTGACTGCTCAACAGTGAGATGGTGACTTGCTGTCAGGATTCATTGTTCTACAGCTCAGTTTTTAGCTGTGGTGCATTGATAGCACTGGCATAAAAACATCCACAGAGGTGCTCTCCTTTTTGCGTGAAGACCAGTGCAGGGTCTGCCTTCACTGCAGCACCATTGTGTTGAGAAGAACTAGTAGCTGTCATCTCTCAAATGTAAAGAAACTGCAGTTTGACCAGCTACTGGTTAATAGTTACACCTGCTTTGGCGAAAGAAAAATGTGGTTTTTGTGCGTTTAAAGCAGTTTTGTGAGTTTAGGCTCGAGTTTGCTGCATGCTGTCTCAATCTTCCTTCTCCTAGTCTTAAGCAGAAATTTCCTGATGCCATTTAGGAAAACTGATCCTCTGCAGAAGTTGCATTTATTGTTAAAGGAGTCTGAAATGCACATCACTTACAATTTATCTTTGTCATTGCGGGGGGAGGAAAGACAGTTTTGGATTTTCTTTTGCCAAGGTGTCATGCAAGCAGACGACGCTATCTCAGTGAAGTGTTACAGAGCAGGTGTTAAGGCAGATGCTTGTGTCCAACGTGGTAGGTGCAAACTTGATTTTTGAGTTGAATGGCAAATATGTAAAAAAAAATCAGTGCTGGGATTTCCCATCTTCCACCATAGTTTCCATCTTGTAAGTAGATGTGAAGGGTTTATATTGGTACCGGAAACAGATAAAGTGCCCCTCTTAGATGCAGGATCAGAAATGTAGAGCTGTCAACACCAGCTTGCTCAAATATTTGGTAACAGGGCTCTTTGTAGGTGTCATGTTCTTTCTCACTGTCTTTCAAGCTCCTGTTACCAGAGCTCAAGATCAGAGGAGATGCTTCTTCTAAGTCACGTACAGAATAGGAAACATATCTTTGTTGATTACTCCAGGCTAACTGGATATACAGTAGCTCTGCTGAAATCAGCGTAATTTCCACACTGCAGTTGTGTTTTTGATGTATGAGATCTTCAAAAGGGAAGTCTGGATTTTGTGCCTTTCTGGCCTTAGAACTGCCACAGTATCAAAGTGCCACGCTTCTGTCTTCCGGAGGGAAGACCAGAATGAAAGGAAATCTTCCAGTTTGTGCTGGGCATGAAAATTCCGAGTAATTTCTTCATTAAGTGGTTGCTAATAGAATCACTTAATAATAGGCCTAAATATTCCTGCCTCAACCGTTTCAGATTTGCTTTTGAATTAGTTTGTCATGAGTAGTTCCAGGGGCATCAGCAAGTTTTTTTTCTATGAAAGAGTTGGGTCATCAGTCATATTTTGTATTCTGTGGAAGTTGAACCAGCAACCTGGAGATTGGATAAGATAAGCTTCATCTACATACTGCAGGAATAAACCAGTCTTGCTACTTTTTAAAATGTCTTCTAAAATGGGTGCAAATACTGTTCTGGCCTTGGAGTTCCTGTAATCATTTGTGTTACAACTGCTTTCTCTTGTCTTTGTAGCATTCATTAATGAGGGAAGAAGTGATGACATCTTTAACCTGATGTTCCAATGTCAAGTGTTGGAAGTTGTAGCAAACCTAAATGATTTCTCTTTTGACACTCTTCAATGCTCTTTTCAGAGACTGCTGCTCAGCTTTCAGGAAGGCACACTTTCTTTAGTGTGTTTGGTGATTTAAATGTCTGTAGAAGTCAAGCCAACTGTCCTCCTTCAGAAACAGAAGTTTTGTAAGAGAACTGTATCCATCCCAGAACAAGCATCTTAAAATCATGTGCATTTAATCATACAAAACTGCTTTACCTTAGCAACTGTATAAATAGAAATCAGCTCATACAGGGGAGATGGTTAAGTTTAGAACGTAAGCATGATGCTCCAAAGCAATTGCAGCTGTCTCTTGGGTTTTGCAGTATGTTTTGCAGTAATGGCAATCTGACATGTAAAGTCTTTGAACTGGGTAAAACACCTTACCTGTGCCTTTTCCCACCCTACCATGCCTAAGGTTCTGAATCTTTCAAATCACAGGAACAGTGAATAATACCTGGTTACAGACATGGCAGTGAAATTTTTCACAGGGAGTTTGTAACAGTCTTACAGAGATGCTTCTAAAAGCACAAAGGCTGTACTTGAGAATAAACTTAGAGTGTCTTGGGTGATTTATGTAAATCAGGAACAAATCAATAGCTAATTAATCCCATATAAAACACTGATCCTTTATAGCAAGGTCAGCTCTGAGGTCTGCCTTGTCCTTTTGTTCATAGTCACTTCAGGCTTTGTGATCTCTTTTTCTGGGGCAGAGTAGGTAGTTACTAAAAGCTTGCCTGTGCTTTTTCTTCAGGTATAAGTAACTTGCAGATAACTCCAAAAAAGCATGTGCAGGTTTTTTGTTCTAGCTATTATTACTGTTACTGGTTTATAATAATCAGTTGGTTTCTTCAGTAAAACAGTTGTAGAGGAGAATCACTTTAATTGAATTACAGAAGCTTATGGTGATAAACAATATCTAACAGAGATTCCTAGGCATAGGCAAATGAAGGATTGTGCTTAAACTACAGTTCTGGTGGCTAAACCGCTGTCTTACCTGCATGTTCAGCATGTGAGCAGTCCTTACAGAATGGTTCAGCATTGTACATATACTTCTAAAGGTGTCAGAGTTGATATGGTGGTTCGGTTTTAATTCTACTGAAAAAGCAGTTTTATGCGGTACATTTGCAAAGTGAGAAAGTTAGCAGTACTTTGATCTGATTTCTTTTGTAAGTAATCTTGGTGCTGAGACCTTGTAAAAATTGCATCCAGACCTTGAAGGAATTTGAATAATGTTTTAGCTTGTCCTATTCTTCTACCAAAGTGAGCTCATCCTTTAAAGGAAGATTCTTTGTTAGAATCTTAGTGCTTTAATTGCTCTTTTAGGAGACATTGTCTTAGACTTGAGCAATAAATTGAGTGTGTTCTTTTTTAGTGGTTTTCCACCATACTGCTTGGGTGCAATTAAACAAGCATTTTGTGGTTTGTGCCTTCAGAATCATGTGTTGGAAAGTCCAGGCACTCATCAGCAGTTCTGCTGCTAATTTGTTCTTCAGTTACTTCTTGGTGTTTGATTCTGTAAAAATGATGGAGCGTTTTCTGGACTTCAGACATGGAAAACTTTGGAGATTGCAGTGCTTCTAGAGAGTGGATCTTGGCTAGTTCAGGGTCACACTGTTTGTCTAACAAAGTTTCTGGATCAGGTTCTGGTAACACCTGTTTGCCTGTCCAGAATATGCTCAGTAGATATCCAGTGATAAGAAATAAAACCCAGTGTTTGAGATGACTTTACAGAAGTACCAGTGCCTTTTTGTTCATTGTAGGTCATTCTCTAGATAGCTGACAGTGTTATCAATGACACGCAGTTTATACTCGCAACTGAAATGGCCACTGGCTACAGCTAGGTCCATGAAACTGGAGCTTGTTCATTGAGCATATTAACGTCAACTTACACTGTGACAAATAAACTTCAAGGAAAGCCTCTGGGTAGATGGGAAACTTCAGTTCTTTTCTTCTTGGAATTGCTGCCTAGTGCAGAAATCAGTAGACTTCACCATCCAGAGAAACTGACTTGTGACTTTCAGAGAGAAGACTTAAAGGAAGAAAAATTGTTTTGCAAATTGCAGCCATTCCTGTGTGTTCTTTTTAATCTGGAAGGCCTTACTTGTCATTGGTTTACCCAAGAAATTTCTCTATTTTAAGCTGCAGAAAGCTTTCAGCTAATAAATTTTACTTTTTAAATAGGCTAGAAGTGCCTACAAATGGCTAATCAGTTACACTACAACAGTTCAGTGCCTAGTGTCCAGGTAGTACTTTGCTCTGTATATTCTTGCTTTACAGATTGTATTTTGGCTTGTCTCCAGATGTACATTATGAGGTCATGAGGCAAACTGTAATCTCCCAAGAATTCTTCTGACCTCAGTAGCAGTTCAGCAATAAAAATTGCTGGATATGCCTTCTAAGAAAAGAAAAGATATGAAATTCTAATCTTCTGTTGCCTGGTGAACTCCTCCTGTAGAAAGGCTGACATCTGTCCAAGAAATTGAACTCTAATTTAGGTAAGGGAGATATTTTAATGGAATTATTTTTCTTCACAGGAGTCTGTAACAGACTACACTACACCTTCTTCTCATCCTAACACAATGGCTACTAGCAGTACAAAAATGGAGGAGACTTTGGTGACGAACGTAAGTCTATTGCAGTGATCATCTTGACTTTGAAGACAAGAAAATATTTTCACACTTTAAAGCACAAAATAGTGCCTTCAGAAACAAGTCACTAGGGTTTCTTTCATGTTAACTAGAGTTGCATTGCTCAGTAATCTTACTCTGAAGCAGATTTGGTTTTGATTAGTATCTCTTCTGGAATTCCTCAGGTATTTTCTTGCCTTCTGATCAGCCAAAATGGGCTAAAGAGCACAGAAAGTGGAGATGTTTCTAGGGAAAGTGCACAGAAAGTGGAGATGTTTCTTTTTTTCTGAAAAAAAAGAAAAAAAAGCTAAAAGGTAGGCCTAAATGAGGAAGTGTGCTCTCAACAGCACTTGGGACTTGAATCTAGTACCAGTAGCAAAGCCCTGTAGGTGAGTTTGAAGAAAGGCTTTTACAAACAGGGCAGTTCTGATCTGTAGCCAGAAATCACAGCAGCTGCATGTAAAGGGAGCAGCTTCAGTAGGCTTTCAGTTGATCTGTTGCTATGGAGATGAGATGTTCAAAGTCCTCATAAAAGCAGTGATCCTGGCTGTGAGCATAGTGTAACGATTGAGAGGACCAACTGGGTTGTGACTTGCAGTGAAATCAAGTTTGTCTTGAGTGTGCTGGGATGTCAGGGAGCTTGGATCTTGTGATTTTTGTTGGTTTGAGTAGCAGAAATAGAATTACAGCTCAGAGTTGAGTCAGTTGTTGATTGAGGAAAGAAAGAATCATACAGTAGGATCTCAGGTTTTTATGAAGATGCTTTTCAGCTTACTGCAGCATCCTTTAAAGCCATTTGGAAGCAATACTGGTTGAACTTTTCTGCTGGGTTTTCTGGTGGTGTGGTTTCTGTCTTTGGTGGTTAGTGTGGAAGACTGAATTCTTTGTGTTAGTGTGGGCTCCCCTGTGGGGTGTTGGAGTTTGATTTCCAGCACAGAATATAAGGGCTTCTGGCACATAGGATCTGTGCTATTACCTGCTTCAAAGCTTCAATTTCTATGTCTTTTGGATGAGCCTTATCTCATCCAGCAGAAGTCCATTAGGTATGCTCTGAATGGAGAACGAAATGGTTAGAAGTAACAGACTGGCCACTGGAGTATTTTTTATCCACTTCATTTAAAACTTCTAGGAAATCAGTAAGTTTTTCTTAGGCAATGAGAGCAATAGCATTATGTCAGGTTTATTTCCTTAAGTTTCACATCTTTCATCTTTCGAAAGAGAAGAAAACTGAATTCAGTTATTGGATGGCAAATCCATTTTGGTTTGTTTCATGGTCCTGTGACTTTGGAGGTTTATAGCTTCCTCTTTTCAGAAACTGAATCTTGGAACTCAAGGTCATGGCACCCCATGTACTGTATTTGTACAAAAGGGGACAAACCTGTCTTGAAGAATTTTTCATATCAGTAAACTGAAAATATACTTTAAATCCCAAAGCAGAAAATTGGTATTTGTTTATGCAGAAGACATGGACATTTTAGAACCTTAGTCTTCATTCAGCCTTTTAAAGAGAGATGACAAGCATCTCAGAACCTGCTGAATGGCCTTTCCCCACCTACCAGATTTTTACCTTATTTTATCAAAATCTCCCTGCAAAATGCTCAAGCCTTGAAGAAATTGTAGCTCACTTAATAAAGCTTGAGCTTTGCTTTTCTGGGGCTTTTGTAGTAGACATAGTTAGAATGTGATGTGTGTTGCCTGCCTTTCAGGTGCCCCTGCCCCACACCCTTCCCCTCCCTAGGAGGGAGACTCTACAACAGAGCTCCAGCCTAACTCCAGTTTCTCCCGCTACCGTCGACCTCACCCTCAAGGTATGTACCACATCCCTCTAAGGGTCGTTTTCTTGCATGCAGGGGAAAAAGTTAATGGAGAACTTGCTGGTGAACCTTTTTTTTTTTTTTTTTCTCTCAAGAGCCTTCCTTTTATTTCCTCTGCTGAACTGCTTTTGCATATAAATGGATGGCTGGAACACAAGACTATCAAAGGATGCATTTAAATTATAAATCTCTAACCCCGTTTTGCATTAACACTTGGCATCTCAACCAATCTTGGCTCCAAATGCCCTGAAAAAAAAAAAATCATAGTATTTTAGCATTGTACAATAGTGTTCATGACAAACCATCAGAATCTGACTGAGGGTTTTTGAGAGTTTAGCTGAAAGTAAGTTGCCTGGTTTAGTATTGAAGGCTGTAAGGAGTTGCTGGGTAAGCCAAACTTGATTTCTATTATCTGTAAGATTTTGGAGCAGGCTTAATGTGGTATTGAGTTGAATGGCCAAAGTTCTGAATAATGAGATGTAGGTGGTATGTTGATGTCTGTGAAGGGCAGCTTGATCAGCTAGTCAGAATGTGTTTTCTTGTGCTGTGTTACGTTGTTTTTTGCTCTCCAGCATAGAGCAGGTATGTAGAATATTTTGAATGATTTTCCTATTTTGTTGGATTTTGGACTGTGTGCATTGTATAACTCACTAACATAGAGTTGGACTCTAGCTTTTGCTACTGTATCTCTAGAAGGTTTTGGTCCTTTTGGTTTTTTTTTTTTTGTTTTGGTGTCCTAGATCTGTCCGTGATTGTGACCACAGGTGTCTGAACCAGTAGAAATACTGTTGCTGCTTCTGGTATTAAGGAAGAGTGATGTCTGAACTTAGTTTCTCTAATTTTTGAAAAGAGGAAATGAAACTAGGGATTGGAGGAGAAGCTTGGTTGTCAGTCCCAGTGAGACTTGTGTCTCACTGGCATGATTTGACAGCTGCTTGCTAGTGTTCTCTACAGATGATAGTTATTAATGATCTCTTGTTGAATCTTTGCTTTTCTTTTTCTAACACTTTATTTCCTGAAAAAAAAAAAGTGACTTTAAAACAGTAGACCAGCAAAAATGGGAGATGGCTGGAGAGGGACAAGTAGTTTAACAAAAATTTGGTTTTCTGTTGCATTCTTTTTTAAGAAATTACCATAATCTGACTTTCTGGCGCCTGAAAGCATTTTTTGAAAATAGCACTTTCTAACTAGCAGCTGGATATCTGATTCACATGTAATACAGGTAGGAATGTTACTATAGCATGATCCTGCAAAGAATGTGACACTGCTCAGTTAGAAAGCAAACCGTGGTGTTTGTGTCATTCATCCTACAGTTTCTTTTTCTGCCGTTCTGGTGTTAGTGATTTGATCGCCTTCTCGGTCAATGACAGGTTTTGGATGCGTGCTAACAAAGTATGTCAAAGATCCATATTTTGAGGCTGCCTTGAAGAACACTGACCAGAATGTGAATGGAAAGGCATTTGGAAGCAGCATTATCTCTGATTTCTCTATTCCAGCCATTGGAGCTCTACCTCCTTTTTGCAGACACTGAAGGCAAAAAGCTTGTTTTGAAGCGTACACTAAGACTATCTTGTGGTCCAGACAGAGCAGAGCTGCTCTTTGTGTTTTCCTCTTCAATATAATGATTGCTTCTTTTAAAAAATACTTCCAGTGCAGCAGAGAGGAAAGGTTTTCCATCATTCTTTTAAGAGAACCAAATCTCCAGGCTCTGCCTCCATAAAGGAATAATTCTTGCCCCTCCTTTTTCCTCAGTCTCCTATCAATGGAAAGCTCTTTGTGAGGAGACTCAGTAGGGGAACTGAGCCACAGTTGCTCCCACTGCTTGACATCATTCTGACAGTGTGTAGGTATGAGGCAGTCTCATTGGGAAGGCTTGTTGAGATCTCTTGCTTCCTCGGAGTAGCTTTGCTAAACACACCTTTACCAAGGCAGACATCCTCTTAAGGACTTAGTTGATGGGGCTATTGGTAGGTAAGGAGCTGAGCAAACTTAAATTCAAAGCAATCTTAAACTGAGCAGCTGGGCTCTCTTTGACATTCTGAGGTTCTACATAAATTCCTGTATACAAATCTGGTCTAGAATCCGACATGTTTTGACTTTCTTTTTCTGGTCACTTAAACCTTGTTGTGCTTAAGGATGTGCACATTGGTATTTGTCTCCAGCTAAGTTTTGGGGTAATACATACTGGACTATCATTGCAATGTGATGGCCCCATTGGGTCAACAGTGAAGAGAAGCCTCAAGCAACTGTGATCTCCAACTAGTGCTCTTGTTCTCCCATAACTAAGCAAACAGTGAAACTATACATACCGCTGTCCTCAGCCTCACTTAATTTAAAGCCTCTTACTCCATATCTGGTCTGTAGATGGTGCTACATAGGCACTCTTAGAGTACCAGTCTCTTTTACATCTTTTTTTCTGGCATAAGAAGTTAGAGATTGTAAGGAGTTCTCTGAAAGCAAAGCTGCTAGAAAACTCAGAACCATCTTATATGCTCTTTAATAAAAATTTGAAAATGGAAGACAAAAGTCAGTGTGTAGGTTAACTTTTACTATGAATAATTTCTCCCAAACATCATGAAATTCACTGAACATAATATAAGCTGCTACACTTTTTCTCTGTGCAGACATTCACAGCTATTTCTTCACTTCCTCTTAATACTAGTGCAGTACAACACTTCACCCTGTCTTGCCAGAGCCTGTGATGTTCAGAAAGGAGCTTGTAGTCTTGCCTGTACTCCACCTTCTCAAAATTCAGCAGATTAATAATCAGTTCTGAAATTTGCCCTGTCTGCAAGAATTTGAACCAGTTTGGAGGAAAATATTGTGGAGGGGAAACTGAGAATGACTTTGTGTAACAAAGTCTTCCTCCTTGCTCTTTATTCTCTTGAGGAATACAGAACTCCACTTTCTGCATGGAAAAGTACTGATCACCTGTTATCCACTTCTTTTGAGATAGCTTTACTTTTTTTATCACTTCTGAAGCATCTACACAAATATCCTAAGTCATGTTTGGTCTGTCCGTGTGCCTAACTTACGCAAAACAGGGTAGGTTAAAAGTATGACTTTGAGAGACTGCAAATCCCCGTTAGGGGGCTCTGTTGATCCAAGGTCAGACTTGGTGAGTATGTATTTGTCCCTTTACATATACTGTTAAAGACAGAACCTGGCCTTGAGAAGCTTATAGTCGCCAGATGAGCGATTTTAGCCTATGGCATCCACCTCTGCTAGCAAAACCTTTTCTTCGGCTGGATGCAGCTGAAGGTTGTAGAGAAGTCCGTGGACTGTGTTTGAGCCTTTAAATTAGTGAGTGTGGTCTGAACGTTAATATTTCCTTTTCAGTAGTCATTCAGCATTGTCTCAGTTCAGATTTGGCATTGCTTGTCTAATGTAGCAATAATTAGGTTATTGGCTGCAGTAAACCAGTAGTTCTTTCCACTTTTGGTGGAAGATAATTGTGTATAAAATACTTAAAATGAAGCTTCATCTTCATTGTCGCAGAAGACTTAGAATTATTGCAGAAATAAGGAGCATGAAGCATTCTTAGCATTCATGTAAAGCACTGTGCACAAGCTGTGTCAGCTTGTGATTGCTTTTTGAACAAGCAGATGCTTTGAGAATCTAAACTCGACTACTCATGTTTACTGAAATAAGTGTTATATATTTTTGGTGGTCACGCAAAGTGGATGATTTACCAAGAAAGCAAGGGGCCGTTTCATTTAAATGGCCCAAATAACTTGTAAATAAGGATTTAATGGAAATATGTAGAGGTTTCTTACCTTTCTTTTGCTGACTGTGTCTTTTGCTCTTCATGTCAAACAAAACCAAGCCAAATTAGTGTGAGTGAATTCTCTTTTGAGCGTTGAATGTTAAGACAGTGAACTATGCACATGTGCAGTTGGGGCAGATAAGAAGCTCCAGCTTAAGGCTGTATGCTTTTTGCATGAACAGAGTTGCACGATCGTAGTGACTTTTTAAAAAGAGGCTCGCATGAAGCCTGAATTGCCTTTTGAACTAAGAAGGACTGTTAAAAAGATGACGACTGCTTGACTAGTTGAAACTTCCTAATAAATGAGAAAATTTATTTTCTTTTAAACAGATGGAGTCTGCACGCAAAGCATGGGAGAATTCCCCAAACATGGGGGATAAGAGTTCGCCAGTGACCTCAGCAGCATCTCCCATTGCTGGTGGCAGTGGCAGTAGCAGCAACAGCAGCAGCAACACAGGGCCAAGCAGTGGTACTTACAGCTCTTTCTCTAGTGCATCAATGCCTCCTATACCTGTGGCCTCAGTCACACCAACAACTTCACTTTCAGGTACCAGAAGTCAAGGTTATAGTATCCTGTTGTACTGTTTCTTGGTTATGTTTTTCAAGAGATTAGATTCCCTTTGGAATTACGTTCTATGCAAAGCTAACAGAAGTTTTACACTAGTATGAATTGTTGGATCTGAACAGCAGCTTCCCAGATACATTTTGAACAAGGTAATAATTCACCTGTTTCAGTCAGCTGTGTAGAATACTAAGATATTTCTCCACCTATGCTACTTACATGGACTTGAAACAGGAGGTAAACTTACACTGTTGGCTGCCTTATTTGTTTTATTTTGTTCAGCTGAACAAAGGCAAGCAAGTTGGTTTTTCAAGCAGATGGTAGTTCTGATATCCAGCTAATAGCAGTCTTACTTTCATTTTTGCTTTTGAAGTCAAAGTTTTGACAGTTCATACCAAAACCCCTATGTAATAGGCAGAGCAAATGTCCAGCTGCTGTTCGCAAGCAGCTCTGATTTCCACCTCGGTTCTTCACAGCAAACAAAAGTCTGATGACTGCAGAAAGGTGAGGCTTTGAAATATTTTTAGCTGGTTTGTGACTTATCAAAATTTATTGTTGATTTATTGTTTCTCCTAGGAGCTGGAACGTATACAACCTCTTCACTGAGTACAAAGACTGCAAGCACCTCAGACCCTCCTAATATATGTAAAGTGAAACCACAGCAGTTGCAGACAAGCAGCCTAGCTTCTGCCAGTCACTTTTCCCAGCTGAGCTGCATGCCATCCCTCATTGCCCAGCAACAGCAAAGTTCCCAGGTCTATGTGTCTCAGTCCGCAGCAGGTAATAGTGTTTGTGGCCAAGAAGCCACGAGTCTGGGGTTTTTTCGAGTTTTGAAGCTTGAAAGTTGACTTCAGTTCTGGTTTTATCTGCAGTAAAAACAAAATGATGGAGAGCATTCTGTAAGCAAATACTAATTGTGTCTTATGCTAAATATGCAAGTTCTATTGGTAAATATAAAGATAATGCTGTGTTGTTAGTTTGTTGAGGAAAGTAATTTTGAATCTTTTAATGTATCATTTTTCTGTCCCAGAATTGTAAATCACTGTTTTTAAGACCAAGAATGATTTAGTCTTGACTTCTTAAAGTGCTGCAATAATTTAGAATGTCTTTTTCTTTAAAGAAAACTCTACATATAGTTAATCTAAATTACATGACAGTATAGCATGTTCTTTCCATTCCTTCACCCGAATGCCAGTTTTGGCCAGGAGCTAGTGCTCATCCCCCAGGAACTGAATGGGGCTGGAGATCCATATGCAAGACCAATAGATCCTTGGGGGTGAATCTGAAAAGATACCAAAGCTGGTTAGGTGCCTAGCTCTTCAATTGTGCTTCTTCTCCAAGTCTGTCTGGTACCTGTCACACTGGGAAGTGCCAACAGTGGCTGCATCACTAATTCTTGATGAAAACCTTTGTAGCAGGGAGATGTTTGGAATAAGGTAGTAACTCTATTGCTTTTCCTGAGGTACTGCAGCTCAAATCCCAGCATTTTATATGGATACAAGTCATCTATTCAATACTCAACATGCACGTTTGGCACCACCTTCTCTGGCTCAACAGCAAGGCTTTCAACCAGGGCTTTCTCAGGTATTTGGAGATTTCTTATTTCTTTTTTTCCCCATCCTTGTCCAAATTGCATTTAAAGCTCTACTAATGAGCTAATTGGGGCAGGGGAGAGTTGGGACTAAAGGCTGCAAAAATGAGGTCATGCTTACTGTTGCTATTTCGTTTTGATGCATGCAGACAGTTGTTTGATCTCTTCTGTTCCTGAGAATGAAAGCATTTGTCCTGAAAGTTGAGAGAACAAGCTTTCACTCACAAATACATTTTATCTAAAAGTACATATTCAGTGGAGGTGTTTATTTGGCCATGTTAGTGCAGGCTTATTCAACTTCTGTAGTACAGAATTGCATGCAGCCTTGTGCAGTTGTTTGGTACACAAATCTAAATGATTGATTCAGTTTCTGCTGGTTATTTGCAAGGAAAAGTGTAAAATCTAACTAGAAAGTAATTTTCTGAATGGGAGCAACACCAGCTCTGCTTGCAGCTTTGGGATTTGAAGTTTTCTGTTTACTTTGTATAATGTTAACACAAATCTCCTAGCACACATTTAACTGTAGCTTTTCTGCATTACTTTGGTTCTTGGGATATCGAATGGTTTCTTTTTTACGCAGCCTGCTTCAGTTCAGCAGATCCCCATCCCCATCTATGCACCCCTACAAGGACAGCATCAAGCTCAGCTGAGTTTAGGAGCAGCACCAGCTGTATCACAAGCCCAAGAGTTGTTCAACTCATCCTTACAACCGTATAGGTAGGTAGCATAAATGAATTTATTTGGGTTTTGAGAGGCAGAATTTATAGAACTCGCTTCTCTGCAGACCTGTGTTCAATAGCTGCCTCATCTTCTCATTTTCCGCAAAATACCTTGTCTGTTTGCCTGAGAACTCTGTATGTGGATTGTCTGGCTAGTTTGCATGTGTAGATGTAGTTATGAAATCATTGGTTCAAGAATTACACATGATATTTTGTTTCTTTAGGAAACCAAACTAAGAAGTTGAAAGCATCAGTCAATCATACAAAGAGAAGAAAAAAAAAGGGAGGGGAGAATTTGTCCCTTTAATTCAAAAATTATTTTCTAATCAAACAAATGTTGTAGCCTTGAAACACTTTGAAATCCTAGTTTGAACCCCATAGGTGGTAGAAACTTAATTTCAGATGTGCAGGGTATGTTTTAGAATAAATGTTTTCTGTTTGCTGCAGAAGATAATAGGAAGACAAGTATTGAAATGGCCTTTCCAAAAGCTTCCTTGCAGTTCCTGTCATTTCTGATTCACAGTGGTGTAATTCTGACAAATGTTGTTAGTTTTACTTTGAGAAAGTTTCTTTGAAAATATAATTACAGGGTTTTGCATGTGCTGTCGAAAAACCTGCTTGTTGCAATGCAGAAGGCTGAAGCCACAGAAGTTTTAATTGACTACATGTGTATCCTGACTCTGTGCTTGGCTGACTTTGGACCAAATATTGCTTGTCCTGCCACAGCTGACAGAAGTTGTTGCAAACAGTTGACTAGTTAAAGAAATACAATCAGTCTGGCATGTGGTCCAGATTATATAAACACTTCTGGCTGATCTGGTCACACACAAACCCAGTATTTAATGGAGTTTTGGGTTGTGCTATTTATGAGTATGAATACTTCCCTACATCATTAAAGGTGCAGAGGAGGATAGGCTTTGAGATACATAGGTTACTGGATTTAAAAAAAAAAAAGCTTTTGGGAATCTCTTTGGCTACATTGACAAGAGGCCCCTGCATAGCTTCTGGGAAAGTTTCTGCAGTGCTCAGAGTGTAGCTGTTCTGCAATTAAGGAAAGGTACGGAGCAAAGCTAACCTGGGTGTTCCATTGGGCAAATACATAGCCACTATGCTACTAGATTAACAGGACCCGTGTTATGCTGATGCATATAGAGTAAGTGATAAAGTGAAAAGTTTTGAAAGGGCCACTTATTAAAAAACTTAATTCTTCAGTCTGAAGGTGGCTGCTCAGTAGGCTCTTAAAAGAAATGTTTGGATAGATCTTCTGGTGGACTAAACCAAACCTGTTTATGGTGCTTTGCTGTACCGTGTATGGGAGTGGAGGGAGGGGTTAAACAAACTACAGCTTCCTCATGATGGTGATAAGGGAATTGAATATCTGGTTAAAAGTAAAGGCTGTGCTGTCTGTGCTACTATTTTTAAGTCAAAACATTCGTTTGGAAGCTACAATTGTCATCATTCAGTGATTTAACCTGTAAATATTAAAAGCTGGTCTACCAAGATATGTGAACAAAGCAGTTTATGACTAAGTGGAACTATTCACATGTGGTACTTCCCCACAGTCCTACCTTACAGCAGAGGAACTCAGAACTGGTAGTTTCTGTATGTTCTGTTAAATTGTGCACACTAAAATAATTTTTGCATATCTAAATAGCCAAGTGTACTTTAAGATTTAAATAAAAGCCTAGCCATCATTTGCTGTGGCTTTAGTAGCACCCATTATTTTGTTGTGTGCAAAGTACATAGAAAAAACCCTACCTGTCTCAGGTGAAGATCTGTTCAATAGAGCTAAGTGGTTTAATTCCATTTAAAGGATATAACCTATGTTTTTAATTTTTAGTGGCTCGTTGTTGAACTCTGTTTGTGTTTTTATGTGTAATACTTCAATTCCCTACAGATCCCAGCAAGCTTTTATGCAAAGTGGTTTGTCTCAGCCATCGCCAGTAGTTCTGTCTGGTACAGCCTTACACAACTTCCCGGCAGTACAACACCAGGAACTTGCTAAGGCACAGTCAAGCCTGGCATTTCAACAGACTTCTAATACACAACCTATTCCTATCTTATATGAACATCAACTTAGTCAAGCTTCAGGACTGGGAGGCTCTCAGCTGATTGATACGCATATTCTCCAGGTAGGAAATGCTCCAAAATGCAAAACTTCTGCAGTAGTTCGATACAGATACTGCAATAATAAATCAGTTATTGCTCATCTTGGGATAAGCCCAACTCTGGTAATTACATGATCATCAAGGTGGCAGGAAACCTAAGATTGTTGGAAGAGAATGTTCATTTAATTTCATAATGGTATATTAGCATAATCTCTGAATGGAGGATTATTCTGCAAACTACAGGCCTCCTTGCATTTCATAGAATCATAGAATAGTCAGGGCTGGAAAGGACCTTAAGATCATCTAGGTCCATCCCCCCTGACATGAGCAGGGACATGTCACACTAAACCATGCCACCCAAGGGTTCGTCCAGCCTGGCCTTGAACACTGCCAGGGATGGAGCATTCACAACTTCCCTGGGCAACCCATTCCAGTGCCTCACCACCCTAACAGGAAAGAATTTCTTCCTTATATCCAGTCTATTTCAGTTACTAACAGGAGCTTCGGGTTTAATTTCTGTTATAGCAGATGATTAAAAGGCAGTTATGCCATTTGCAAATGACAGCTGAAACCTTCAGGTTGTCAGCTTCCTATGCTGTGGTTTCAGCTGTACTGGCTGAAATAACAGAATGATGTGTCATGCTGTCTCAGAACTGCTCTCCTGAGTGTTCTTAATCTATGGTGTGTCTCACTCTTCCTAGGCCAGAGCTACACTCACTCAAGCTTCAAATCTGTACTCTGGGCAAGTTCAACAGCCTGGCCAGAGCAATTTCTACAACACTGCACAGTCTCCCAGTGCTCTCCAGCAGGTAAACTGTGGCATGGTAAATTTCCTAAATTGTATTCTTCTTAAAAGCATGTTGTTGATGGTGGATTTTGTGGCATGGGGGTGGATGTGGGGCTGAGACAATCTTTAATTCTTCCAAAATTGGTAGCTAAGGAGAACTATTACAGCAGCACTAAAAAACTGAATTGCTGAGAAGTTGGATGGCCTGCAAGTTCTCGTTGGTCATTTGTCATCTTTCTCTTAAATAGTTCATTTTCCAGTGCCAGGCAAAAATTCAGTTGGTATAGTGATATTGCTAATTAACTGAGGCATATACTGCCTTTATGAGGACAGGTATCAGTGATGGCATCTAGAGAGAGACAGACAAACTCCATATGCTTAGCGCAGCCTAATTGTTAACATCAAATCTGATTGAGATGGAACTTCAGAGCTGCTGCATATGGCAGTGATACCATATATACAGAAAAAAAAAAGTCAGCAGACAGATGATCATACGTGCAAACAAGAGAGCGAAGTCAGTAACCATTAACCTACATCAGGAGGTTTGTAAAATAAACTCTAGTGAATTTTAATATTTTTTTAAATTCTTTTGTGAAAGAACTGCTAATTTGATGTGTGCAAGGAGTCTGTTGTATTCACAGGATGCTGTCGAGTGGTTTCCATCTTCTGGTGCAATTTTTATATAAGTGGCCTTAAAAAAAAAGCTCTGTGATGAACTGGTTTATTATAATACATATACGTAAAAAGTTGCCAAGACAAATCTAGAAGGGTCAGATTTCTGTTGGAAATCTAGCATAAGATTTTAAAGATATTTTAGAAGGGTTAGTGCCTTTAATGTGTTCAGACTTGTGTGTCTATACTTCTAACGTGTTACCCTTCAGAACTGTAGGAAGTCTTTCACATCTGGACAGTATCATTCTTCTAGTTGCACTTAGAATATCATTTTGCAGGCTGTGGATTGATGGTCAGTCTAGGAAATGCAGTAACTCCTGTCAGTCACGTCACTGCTGTGGTATTTTCACATTTGTCACTACCATTCTGTGGTGTTTTCAGCCCACAGCACTCCCTGTTAATGCAAGCAAGGGACAACAGCATGATGCTTGGTGGTGGCTTTTTTTAAGCAGGCTCTGCTGGTTGTTGGGAGTCTGGGAAAGTAAAATCTAGTTTTCATCTCGGTGTCCTTACGATGACTAAAAGTATTTGAAGTAAGTTTTGAGTTGAAATAAATTTATTTCTTGATACAATGAAATCATGTTGAATGATGAGTTGGGAACTAACATGCAGCTTTGTTTCTGAAAAGCAAAGACACCGATTCCATTAAAACTGATTATAAAGACAGGCTAAACATTTCGCAGCTCTCTGGATAAATGTACAAACTCATTAAGAAATTACAGAGCTAGTAAAGAAAGTTAAATAATGGCCCCTGTGTATACGTTACTGTTGGTTTTGTACTTTTCTTCCAGGTGACGGTACCTTTACCAGGATCACAAATTTCTTTGCCCAACTTTGGATCCACAGCACAGCCACTTATTGCCCTACCCCAATCTTTACAACCACCACTACAGCACACACCACCACAAGCGCAGGCTCAGAATCTAAGCAGACCTGCACAAGTAACTCAGCCTTTCAGAGGGTTGATCCCAGCAGGAACTCAGCACAGCATGATCGCTGCAACTGGAAAGGTAATAATATTGGTATCTACAGTACAAAAATTAATACAAAGCACAGCTGTATCCTGTTTTATAGAATTGGCGTGGCAACCCATGCTGACCTTGCATCTAAAAATCTGCTTTCACTTTAAAAGGTAGGGGAAGGTACAAAAGCCAGTCAAGGTTAGGTCCTTAGTGACTGGGTCTGTGCATTTTGTAAAGGTTTAGGTGAGTTTTTGTAGTTGAGCTAATATTAGTCCATTTGCATTGCAGGAATATCTAGTTTGATAATGACTCTCTATAGGATATTTTATGTAGAAACCATGCAGAATATAGTACAGAGTCATTATTAGAGCAGCAGGCAAACAACATTACACTGTTAGGGCTAGTTTATGATTCTGATCATGCATGTATTTATCGCAGTTGGTCTCACAAAGGAGTGAGTTATATGCAATAAAGTCTTTCCAGTGCAATGAATTGGAGTTTCAGGGGCTTCAGTGGACTCTGTATCAGCTGTGACCTTAAACCAGAATTAAACTCTTCTAATGTTGCTGGAGGCCACCTTTTCTGAATAGCACAGCAAGGTGTGTATTGAGAACACAGCACTGTATGAAAGGCAGGACCTTTGATATATAAAAGGCTGGTTTTGAAGCTGAAGAAAATTTTTTTTTTTTAGTGACAGCTCCAGTAAGGAGGTAACACTGAAATAGTGCAAGAAACTTGAATATCTGGGAGGGAATCCTGTCCTAGCCTTTATCTGGAGCTGCTGTGGTAGTTGTTAATGAGGGGATGTATGGAGCTGGCTTCCAGTCAAGGTCTCTTGTCTTAGATGGAATCACAGATTTACAGGCACCTGGGATTTTTGGATAGTGTGCGGCACAACGCAGTTGCAGCATGCTTTCAGGTGACAGTGGGTGGCAACAGTGGACATGAGCACAGCTAAGTTTTTTGTCAGCTACAGCAAGGTCTTTCACCAGTGCAGGAAATAAACTCTGGAGTTGCACCTGAAATCCTCGTATCTTGTGGCCTACATTTTAGGGTGCTTTTTAGTTTAAGGTGACCCTGTTGTCCCGATGGTTTACAGCTGTGATCAGAAAAATTTCTCTCAGTTGTTAATTCCATGTCTTCAGCAGTAATGGAAACCAGAATTCCAGATCACCTAAATGAAGTTTTCATCCTGTCACCCACCAGAGTATATGGAGATATTTGCACCATGCCATTTTCTAGCTTCATAGGATCTGACCAAATATTGTCACCTCTACAATTTTTATGAGCCTGTCTAAGCAGCAGCTTGTTTCTTGCTGTGGCTGGAAGACAGTAATTTGTCATTGGAAAACTAACACTTACTTCAACAAGAAATAAGAACTGCAGTGGTATGGTGGCCTTAAGTGACTTCCCTGCCTGTTAGGGTTCCGTCATGTTCCTGCTAAAGAAAGCCAGCTTAAACCAGCCATTTGTATTTAACTGATTATTGTTGCTGTTATGCTTCATGGCCATGTGCGGAAAGGTCCCAGAGACTAACTTACTCTGTTGAGTGTACCTGCAAAAATAACATACAAGATTTATTGCTCCAATTAGTCTAGAGGTTTTTTTGCATAAATGACAGCTCCATTTTTGCTGTGCTTTTTATTTTTTTATGAAACTGGATTATTTTATGTCAGTCTTCAGCATTTTTCAGGATTATATCTAAAAATTTTCATGTGATACCTGAGATGGGGAAGGAAATATCAACCCTGGAGCACTTTTTTAGGGCCAGATAAGTAAGTCACAAATCCCTTTTCATTATGGAGGAAGATCAAGTTAGAAAGTCATTGCCCTTGCTCGAAGTGCCAAATAGTGCAGAAAAATTGTACACAGAGGGGCTTGTGGTGCTGGAGCTGTCTTAGTAATAATAAGCCATTTTACAATCTGGCTTTCACCTCCACTTAAATGACCTATTTTCACTGAGAAAAATGTGAGGTAAGATAACAGTTTCTTAGTAAACATAGTATTTCTTTGAATTAGAATTAACCTGTTGGTTATTTTCTTTTTCAGATATCAGAAATGGACCTGAAGGCCTTTGGAGGTGGCATCGATGTTAAACCTGGAACACCACCAGTTACTGGTAGAAGTACTACTCCAACTTCCAGTCCCTTCCGGTAAATCTCTTAAGCTCAAAATTCCTTGAAATCATAGCTAGAAAATGTACCTAGTCATGCATGAACAGACAATTCTGAAAGGTGTGAGGTATGGGGCTACTAATACAAAAATGCAGCGCTTAATTTTAGCTTAAAAGCAGCATTCCAGTAGGTCATCAGATATGCTGTAGCTGGCCAAAAGTACATTGCTGTGAAATAAAACACAATTTTTTTTTATTAAGTGACACTAAACCATGCATGTAGAATTACCTGGGGTTGTACTAGGAAAGTATAGGCATGGTAGGGAAGATGTAGTTTGGTATAAAACTAAGACAGTTTATCTTAATTGCACTGCTCAAGGTAAGAACACTTAAAGGCTTACACTGCGGTTGTGGCAACATTTCTGGTAGAGAGCTGAGAATCACTGCAAGATCTGAAGGCCTCTCACAAGTGAAATTAGTAAGCTGTTTGCAGGTTCGCTTGGTTAATTGACAGAATTGGTAGAATCTTGCTCATACATAGATGCACTTCAAGGTAGACCTATTGGGCTGCTTGTGGGTGAAGGTAGTGGGCTGAAAGAACTTGAAAACAAAACTTCGCTACAAGATAACTCTGTTCTTGAAAACTGTGCTCCTGTGCATAGTAATGATATTTGGTGGGTTTCACTGTAGCAGACTGACAGTGTTCATGCTTTTCTAGTGAGGTGGAAATGAGATTTTTGAACTCAGTGCTGAAGTCATGCTTCCAGTACTTTACCTGAGTAAAAAGTGAAGGGATGAGAAGAAGAAACTTGGATTTGCAAGCTTAGTCAGCATTTAAGACAATTGTCTTGATAGTATATGTCTTAGAGATTCTACATGAGATGTCTCTTCTCCTAGCAATCAAAGCGGGGCTTAGCATAAGCTTTGGCTCTGAAGTGTAGAGTACTGGGAAGATCGACAAAAGCATAGTAGATCTCAAGAGCTGGAAAACTAAACAAAGACTTCTTTAAGCTTATAAAATGTTGGTGTGTATTGAGTATGGCTGGCTTTCTTGCCACTGGAGCCCCACTGCTCATTTTACATTACAAGTATCACTCATACACTCTGCAAATAAAAGCTCCATTTCCTAAAGTAGGCTGCTTGCTCTTCTCTGAGGGCTGTTCAGTGCCTTTCCCTCAGATAACCTTTTAGGTTTCATTTAATTCACAGTGATTCAGCACCTCTTAAGTTTTAATGGACGGTCATGTTCTCAGCCAGATGAAATGGGGAGAGTGTTTTCCATGAATTCTTGAAATGTTTCAAGTGCATTTTGAAACATTAGACAGCAGGTTGGAGCTGTATGTGGCAGCTTCTGCTGCACATGCTTAATGGCTGTTGTGACAAGCTCTGAACTTGACACAATAGAGCAAACATTGTAGAGGGGTAGGACTAAATGTAAGGTAGCAGGAGTAGGAAGGGCAACACTTTTGCCATTAGGGTGTGTTATGAATGCTTTTGGGAAGGGTCTCTTTTGTACACTGGGATCTTTCCATATCCTAGTATGTCTGGTTTTTCTCTTTGCATTCTTAAGTTCTGATTTTGCTTGCATTTTAAATTAATGGTAGATACAGAAGGATATCTAATACCAGCTTCTCCAAGAGACTGTTATTTTTCTCTGTCCAATGCTGAATTTCTAGTTAAGGTATAACTAAAAGCAAAAACATCTGAATGAGAGCAGTGTGATTCTAACTGGTCTGTTTTTTCTTTAGGGCCAGTTCTACAAGTCCTAACAATCAGTCCAATAAAATGAACAGCATTGTCTACCAGAAGCAGTTTCAGTCAGCAGCTGCTGCTGTGAGAATGACACAGCCGTTCCCTGCACAGTTTGCACCACAGGTAGGTGGCTGCTGGCTTCTTACAAACCAATCAGTTTCTCTGTATGACCTGGTGACTCTTAACTTGGCTGTGTTCCCTCAGGTTTTATCATAGGGAGATACAAAATTAAATCCTTAAAATGAAATGGCATGATTTCAAGATGAAAGAAAAAAAAAACAACAAACAACCCTCTCTGATCTTGCTAACTAGTAGTGCAGGTTTTGTGGTGTGTTTAATTTTGGGAGTTCTTGCACACTGAGGAATTTAATGCAATTTGTGAATCATGTAGAACAGACTGTTGTTCCGCTGGCTTCCCCATGCAGCTGTAATGCTCCTCATCCTGCAAAACCAGATCATTTGGTTGGGGAAGGGGAGCAGCTTTGTGTCTCAGAAGGGTCCCAGTGCGTATTTTAAATGCTTGAAGACAAAGCCGATTTGCAGTTGTTTGTTTGAGATGCATTTCTAAAGTATTGGTGGAGCAGTTGAGGTTGGAAAGGATTTCTGGAGTCCAAACAAAGCAGGGCTGATTACAAAGGATTTAATTTGCTTCTGGCGTTCCAGGGAGCACAGCTTACAAGGGTGGTGCATCCCTGTTACAAGTGACGGTAGCCAGGCTGCTAGGGAAATCCAGTCTCTCAAAAAACGTAGGATATTTCTGTCTGTCTTCAGCATTTGGAGTGTTTGATTGTAGGATTTGAGATTTGATTTTTGGATTGCCACTAGCAGGAACTACCTCGCCTTTCCAGGGCTGCCTTTCACTAGTGAGTCCTCCACTGCCTGGCATGGGTCTTCTCCCTTATTACACACTGGGTGGAAGTTGGTCCTACTTTCAGGTACAGCGGCACTACAGGGCTGTTTTTTTCTGGAGTTCAAACATGGCCTCTCTTAACATAAAAGCCTATTTTCTTGACATGAATGTGACAGGAGAGCAGCACCTTTTTCCCCATTTAAAATAATGCCAACGTGCAATCTAGTTGGCAGTTTTCTAATTGCAAAATGTCTCTTTTTGTTGTTTTTTTCCCCCACTTAGATTCTCTCTCAGCCTAACCTGCTCCCTCCATTGGTAAGAGCCCCATATACTAACACCTTCCCAGCGCCTGTTCAGAGGCTGCCAGTAGTACTGCATAGTCAGATGCCGTCTCAGATGACCACAGGCCTTATGAGCCACCCTCGTTTACCGCGTGTGGCCAGAGGTCTTTGTGGATCAGTATCTGGAGCCAGAGGCAATCAGGCCCAGGCTGCGATGAAGGCTGAACGAGACATGAAGGTTAGTATTTGGACAGCGGTGCTGTTAACACCGGTTCAGTCTTGACAGCTTGTAGGGCAGGAACGTGTCTGCAAATCATGTCATAATTAAAATGCCTCTGGACCCAAAGCTGGTATAGCTGGGCCTCTAATAGCTGAACACAGACCTCCTCTAAGCCCTGGGGTTTTTTTAGTAAGAACTTTAGACTAAAAATAGTGTAGGGAGCTTCCTCTCTCCAGTGGTCTTGTGGTCAGCAGTTGTGAAGCTGCCACTGCTGTCAAAGGCAATCTGACAAATTAGATTTCAAGAGCCTGGATTTTCTGAGTAAGTGATGAAGCCTGCAAACCTTGCTGCTAGCTGTCTTTTCACATCTCCCTCCCCAGCTCTGAACACCAGTATTGAACCCCCCTGTTCCAGCCAGCCTCATTACTTGGTGATTCTGGAGATTCAACTCTCAGTGGTTTGAAATGCCTGTGATTAATTGTCTGTGGTAGAATGCAGTAACGTGGTATGCTCCACAGAAGAGGTGGCTGCATTTCACTAGCAGGTGATGAGTTAGAGCACTTTGGGACCCTTCAGGTTGAGGCAAACTCTTCTTACCAAGGCGGTACTGCCATATGGGGTGTCTGTGCAAGGACACCATTGTACACTTCACATGTTTGCTGCAGAATAAGCTGCTTGTACAGACAGATGGTGCTAAGGAGCTTCTTCATCTACTGTCATTTGCCACAACCCATGCATTCAGGTGTAAAAGCAAAGGAATGTGCTTTTTTCCTGGTTATGTCTGCTTGTAGGAGAATCAGTTATCCCAGATAGTTGATTACTCCTTTAATTCTAGGTACTTGGTCCGTTTAGTTTTCTACCACCGGTTTATTAGCAGTACACTTAACCAGGTGATGCTTAGTATATTGATGAGTATATTAGAAATTTAATTTAGACAGTCAGCAAATATGACTATACAGTCCTGTTTTCCAAATCTCCCTGAAAACACTGCTCAGAAGAATCTGAGTTATTTTGTCACACTTGGTTACTTGTGATCAGTTCCTCCAGACTTCTAGCCTTCAGGGCATGGCTGAAATGTGTGCAGAACATTTCAGGTGTCCATCTGGCTCCAGTAAAAGCAGACTGTTGCTGCAGTCCTGCACACCAGAGTTCACATTTTTTCTATTCTGTTGCTGGTTGAGTTACTTGGAGCAGCTACACAGTATGAAAGCCAAGACCTCTTGTTCCAGGCTTTTGCTTTTTTGTCCCCATTGCGTGTCATCCCCCCTGCCCTGTTTTCTGTAAAACAGCATAAAATACTTGGAGAGGTATGTGGAAGCTTAGCGACTGTATTGTAGTGGAGGCTCCTTGTATTAAAACACACCTTTTTAATTTTAAAAAGGCATCTGACTGCATTGGACTTAATTGTGCAGCTTCCACGAGATTGACTTCTTACTGCAACTCCTGCTTTTGCTTAAGCGTGGACAGGAAAGCAAAGTGCTTGATCTCTGAAGCCTCTGGTCAGCATAGTGTAAAACCTACAAATAAAACATGTAGTCACAAAGGCTGAATTTCACAGGTGTAAGTCGAGGTTAGTGGCAGGATTCAGAGGAGGAATTTGAAATAAGCCAGGCAGTAGTTTGTGCTGCCTGGGATGAATGCCCACTTTGAGTGGGAAGCAGATAAGGCCCCAGCTTACACAGAACACAACCTTGAACCTGGTTCACTTGCATTCCTGTTGTAGACTCTGAAGTCTTGTGTCCAGAGACATGTGTTGGGGGACGAATTTGGGTGCTGAGAGTAGATTCTGCTGGTGTGATACACAGCTCCTGCACTCAAGAAGTCCAGACCACACGGCAGCAGAAATGACAACTGGCATGGCCCTCATGGTAGTGTTGGGGCTTGGGCAGTGTGCAGGCACACGCCTTCTGGTCATGTCTGACTTCCACTGAGGAGTGAAGCTTTGTTTTGAGCCTGCTGTAGGTAGTACTTACACTTGTTGAACTGTACAATAATAGTGTCATAAAAAGATGTTAGATAATGCTTCAAACTATTGTCCTTGATCCTCTTTTCTGGATTGATGATTAGGAAGAGCAAGGGAAGCTTTGGCATGATGTTAAGCTACTACTGAGGAGCCAAGAGCACAGATGTAGTGACATCTAGGAAGCAGCTGGATGGATGCTGCCTTTCTAGGAAAGTCTTGCCACTGCAGTCAGTCCTTCCTCTTTCATTTAGGAGATACTTTTGTGAAGTCACTCTTATTCCAATGCCCTCTCTTCAGTAAACATATTTTCTCCCTTTCTTAAGGCAAAGCAGAGAGCAGAGGTACTTCAGTCCACCCAGAGATTCTTTTCTGAGCAGCAGCAGCAGCAACAGAGCAAACCCATAGGAGGCAAAGCGCAGAAAGTGGACGAGAATGGGAGCAAACCCACCGAGGCAATTGCTGACTCTTCAGGGGTCTGCCAGGACAAAACTGAGGAAAAGCCCAACCCTCCGCCTGCTACAGCAACAAAACCTGTTAGAACTGGACCAATCAAACCTCAGGCAATCAAAACCGAAGAAACAAAATCTTAGAGGCTGTGTTTCCATGGAGGTGGGGGGAGAGGGGAGGGTGGGTGAGATGACAGCAGCATGAATTTCTAGCCCAAAGGAAGAGACAATAGTGTTCTCTCCCCGTAGGGCTCTGAACAGTGTAAAGTGGCATAGAAGCCTTCAGCAGTTACAGATGCAAACTGCTGTGTATCCAGCTGAGCTTCTAGGTTCCTTGGGCTTGTGTCTGCTCTAACAGCATGGAGGCTGCTTTTGGCGTGTGCACGTTCTACACGTGTGCGCATGTACTGGCTTACACACCTGTATGTTTCCCAAAGTGAAAAAAATGGAGCAGCAGGGGAGGTGGCCAGGGAGGCCTGTTCTGAGCTGACAAATGAATACTTGTATTTTCTTCCGGCTCTGATCTTCAGCTGCTATTTATCTTTTTATAAACCCATGAATATGAGAACATGCAGATTTGAAGATGGTGCTAGGCCAAGTAATACATGTTAAGTTTTTAGTGACTTAAGCTTCTATCTTGTAATAAAGAGAGGGATTCATACAGCTGGCAAAATTGCCTTTGCTGTGTGACCTAACATAACACAGAGTAATGCTGATGATGTTGAACTTCCCTCTGAAGGCAGTGCTTTGCTGGCTGCTGCTTCTTGGATGAAAATATATTGCATTTAGATCACCGTATGAAAACGCTACTTGGCCACTTGTTCTCTACACCCACTGCCCCCTCGGTTGTTCACCTCTGGAATTGAAAGGTTCATTGCATCAATAGTCAGATTTGTTCTGTTCACCTCTGTCCAGCTATCTTTATATGATGCGAGTGATTTCTAAACGGTTTCCAGTTTATGTCTGTATACAGCAGCGAGCACTTCGAACTGTGCCACGAGAATAAAAGAAACCTTATTGGCTTAAAGAGAGTTTAATCTACAAGGTGCATTCTTTATATCAGAGCTACGTCGCACCACCTCCTTGCCCACAGTGTGCTGGAAAGTAGAATCAAGTCAAATAAATGCCTTTTTAATTGTATCCTCTAGTATTATAGCTGTAGGACAGTACTGTATGATACTTCTGTGAATGTAAGATACCCTGTACCTGCTTATGATATGTAGTAGTGACTGTGCTATACTGGAGCTGTTTTTAATAATGTTATTCTAGAGGTTTTTTTCCAGACAATGATTGAAAAAGCTAATAAAAAGCACCAGGTACCACATCAGTAGCAGAATTTGCTGGTTTTTTTCTGGGATTTTTTTGTTTTCCTTGGTTTTTGGTTGGTTTTTTGTTTTTTGGTTTTTTTTACATGTTTTGGAAGGAAGAGGTGAGAGTCTAATGTGTATAATTTTGTTCAAATGACTGCAGAAGCTGGAAAGGCTGTTGCTGCTATCGATGCCTAGTGAATCGCTATTGGTTATCTTTTTATATAAATATATATATAATTTGAATTTTTGGAAACTTTAGCTGTGATGTCAACTTTGGAAAAAAGTATCCCACTTGTAGTGTGAGTTGGCATTGTACAGAAATTAACAGCCATATTGGTCTAGAAATGTTAAACTTAATTTTTTTTTCCATTTGTACAGGGGTAACGCACTGTATGAAATATGTACGGTCTTATTTACATGGGTTTGATTACAGAAACTAATAAAGTATTCTCTAAATAAAGCACCCGGGTAATCTCGTGATTAGCACAGTGCTGCAGGATGCACGGAGAGTGCCTGAACACCGTGTGCCGAGCGAAGAGTGTGCGTGACAGCTTGGGAGAACAGACTTCTGAGGAAAACCAGTTTGAAACGGCTTATTTGTGTTTCCCCTGGTGCTTTTGATCTCATTCTGCAGCAAAGGGATGTGGCTTCCATCTAGCTCTGGACGGGACCTGCAGCTTGTGTTTGGAAGATGTTACCTCTGCGGTGTGTTGGTGAGCTGCTGGCTTCCTAGAGAAGAGCCACTCCTCAGAGGAGAGATGAGGATGAGCACAGCTGGCGGCTGACAACAGGCATCATCTGAACCCTCACAGTAAGGGGCAAGAGGTTTCCTGTAGGAGGGAGCCTTGATCAGATCCTTCACATGGGTGCAGGAGGCTTCCTTTGGCTGCTGCTCCCAAACCGCTCCCTTCCCAGTTCGCAAGCAATATACACTCACTACCACATGTTCAGAACATACAGTTACAGACTCAAGCCCTTAAGTGTGGGGCAGGATGAGGGCTGACCAACCTTCAGTCTTTCAGTTGCAGGGGGGAAAGCATCCCAGATGTCTGCTTTGGTTTGTGGGGTTAGAAGCAGCAGGATGCTGTCAGCTGGACCCCAGAGGGAGCCTGGTACCAAACACCAGAAACACTGTTTGGTCTCTGGGAAGTAATTCCTGCCTTGGGAGAAGGTACTAGCTGGTGCTGCATGTCAGCAAAGGAAGGAGAAGGCAGCCAGGGGTGGCTGTGCAAAGCACCGTTGGTTGTGGTGCAGATCACCTTTGCTCAGGGGTGCTGCTGCCAGCCCTGCAGTGGGTGAGAGCATGCAGAGCTGCCTGCACTTGGCTGGGTGGGACCCCAGGTTCAGGGGCTCCAGAGGGGCAGGTGTCCTGCTGAGGCTGGTTCTGTCAAGGGGCAGAACTGCAGCATTATGGAGTGAACAGAGTGATGGGCAGATGCAGCCTCCGAGTAGGTGACCGCACAGGTAAAGCACCTTTTTTGTTTTTACAGAACCTGTACAAGCACAGCTACGTAAGTGCTCAGGGAGATGAAGGATGAAGGGAACTGAGCGATCGTAGACGGTGGTTTGATCTACAGGTGTGCTGCAGAAGAGTAACTGAGATGTTTCCCCGGTTTGAGGCTACCTTTAGCCTGGTTCATGTTGGAAGGACATCCTAAAAATGGGATATCCTCCACCAGATTATTCTGCATTTAAGGAAATGCCACTGAAAGGATTAATCTTAAATTCTCCAGTAAAGCTACTAGCAAAGTCAGGGGAGTTTCCCACAGCCGGTTTTCGGCTGTTTCTTGTGCTGAGCATAACAAGGATAGTATTTTTGCAGAAACTTCATGAAAGGCAAATGATTGGCCATATTCTACATCTGAATAACTTGGTTTCGATGTGGGCCTCTCAAACAGCCGTGAACTCTAGCTGCCTGTAAGGCCAGGTTGAGCTTTTAGTCACTGACCCCCCAGTTCATTGAATATTTTTCTGCCATTTAACTAGATAACTGGCCCCTTGCACTGAGACAGAACTTGCCTTTTTGAGTGGGACTTCTTGTGTAATCTCCTAGAGCTCTGGCCTTCACAGATAATTGTGCTGAACCCCCCCCCCGATAACTTATGGAACTATTTTGTTTGGAGAATTCACCTTTCCCCCCCCCCCCCCCCCCAATAATATTCAGTCTGTAAAAAGACGATAACTTTTCCCAACGGCAAGGGTTAAATGTGACTTGGGCCAGAATCCAGCAACCCCGTGGGCCCAGGCTGGCTTCTTGCTGTGGTGCAGGAGGGGGGGAAGCTCTCCGGGCTGTTTTGCAAAGCCTGTTAAGTAGAGCCATGTATTCAGCACTGTTCAGCTGCAGCCCAGCTCTCTGCAAATCCTGTGTACATTGGCTTAGTTAATTAAGCGTTGGACTTCCTAGCCTGAAAAGACCCTGCTGCTAGCAGAGAACAGGATGGTGGGGAGGGCTGGGGCTGTCTGCGCTCGGTCTCTCCACTCACTGTTGTGAGAAGCTGTTGGTGCTGCTGTTCCCCAGGGACCTCTGAACAAACCCCCCCTTTCATGCTGGGGCTCGACTCTTGCCTCTGGGAAGCTGTGGGGTAAAGTGGGGCTCCAGCCTCTCCTCCCGTCCTGTTCTGGGACAGACCTGTCATTCGGCCATCCTCAGCAGCAGGCTGGCTGTGTGTTGGCTGGGTGGCTGCTTGCCTGGCTGTCCCTGGCTGGGTAGGGTCAGTGCTGTGCCGGCAGGGGCTGCGTGCCTTGCTCTTCCTGGCCCCAGTGGGAGCATGACAGCCCCTGCCTTTCCCTGGGTGACCTCTATAGCTGCCTTCCACTCCCAGCGTTACTGCCCTGGGTACCACCCTGCTGTTTGCCTTGTTCCTCTGTAACTGCCTGTTACCGAGTGGGTTTTTGCTGCAGGGCAGAGGGATGCTGCAGGGCTGAGGCTGCACCCCAGAGCAGGCCTATGCACCCGTGTTTTCCGAGGCCAAGAGAGCCCATAATGCACCAGGAGTTTATTGCAGCCGCTGCGGTCGGTGGCAGTGGGTGCCCTCTCCCCACACCAGGACCAGGGCACCCAGTTCAGCGCAGCCCTGGGTCCTCCTCATGCATTGCCCAGCCGGCTGAGATGGCGGGCGTGGGGCTGCGGTCAGTGGTGGAGGCACGGCTGCCCCCCGACAGGAAGCTGAAGAAGGAGTCACGCTGGGGTATGGTGAGCGGCGTCCCGCAGCCCGTGAGCTCCAGCGTGCAGCGCAAAACCCGCTGCGGCGTGTAGGTGATGCAGCTCCAAACGCTCTCCGGTTCCTGGCATGGCACGGCACGGGGCCCCTGGCTCTGGAGAGCATGGCGTGGCTGATGGCGGCTGGCGGGAGGTGTTGCCGACCCACATGGCTCAAGCACTGCGGCTGAGATGGCACGACTGCTAATGCAGCGCAAATGGAGCAGGAGCGGGCTGCTGGCAGGGCAGCAGGGACTCGCTAGGGCCACCGGGCTGCCCCGTGGCATCTGCGAGGGTGCATCGCTGGCGTGGGACACCTCTGCTTGGTGCTGGCTCGTCGTGAGTGTCCCAGCCCTGCACCAGGCCTGCCAGGGAGCAAGAAAGGGTCGTTCAGCATCTTTCCTCCATGTGCTGGGGTCCCACCTGCGGCCCCAGGTTGGTCCCTGTCCTGGTTTCACCCAGTAGCTGGTATGTGGTGTATCAAAGAGAGACTCCAGCTCTGGTGAAATCTGAAGACCTTTATTTCGCCTCTCGAATCCCTTTTATAGTCTACTAAATGCTAAGCAGTAACCTTCCACTCTTTTACTCCCTTATCATCCCGATTTAGCAAAACTACTAAGGGTTACAAGTATTCACACTGTTTGGTCTGTCTTTGAGATGCACATCCTGCTTTATCTTGCAAACCACCTGCTTTGTTTTGCAAACCGATCTTTACCCTTCATTGTTCTCTTTACAGTTCCCAAGGCTTAGGCCCCAGCAGGGCATTAACACCTGGTGTTTTCTTCAGGGTTCCCAATGCTTGAATCTATCAGTGCTATCTATCTATCTATCAATGCTATTTCTATCTGTCACCCACACTGGTATAGTGCAGTGTTTTGGATTTAGTCTGATACTAATGCTGTATTATTATGTTTTAGTTGTTCCTAAGTAGCACTTACCTTGATCAAGGACTTTTCAGTCTCTCATGCTCTGCCAATGAGGTGGTGCACATGGAGCCAGGAGGGAGCAGACCCAAACTAGCCAAAGGGGTATTCCATACCACAGCACAGCATGCCCAGTATATAAACGGGGGGGGGGGGGGTACCTGTAAGGGACGGATCACTGATGGGTTTGGATGGGTATTGGTCAGCAGCTGGTGAGCAGTTGTATTGTGCATCACTTGCATTTGTTGGTTTGGTGGTGTTTTTTTTTTCCCCTTTTAGTTTTATATTTATTTGTTATTTCCCTTATGGTTATTATCATTAATAGTAGTAGTATTTTCTTATACCTTAGTTACTGGACTGTTCTTATCTCAATCCATGGGATTTACATTCCTTCAATTCTCCTCCCCATCCCACCCGGGAAAGGGAGGCATATGAGCGAGCAGCTGTGTGGTTCTGAGTTACCAGCTGGGCTTAAAGCACAACAGTCGCTTTTGGCACTCAATGCGGAGCACGAAGGGTTGAGAAAACGACAGATCTGACCAGAGTGTGTCAGAAAAGCCTTTTATAAGCTTTCACTGTTTTGCATTAATAGTCACTCATCACAATGTTGATTTATTTGCTCTCTGAGTTGTTGCACTTGCTCTTAGAGTCACATTGTGTAACACAGTATGTGTTCCCTGCGGTGATGTTTGTCACCTATGGGGCCTGAGCTAAGGCTCTCACTTTGTTGTACTTTTCAGTAATGGCTTCTGATATGATAGAATTGCTGGTTGTGAAACTGATCTGGTGGTGCCTGTACTGAGCATTGCAGCCATGTAATGGGAACTGTTAACAGCTACATCTTTTGCCTTTCCTTCTCAGAGGACCAGCCTCTGGAGGAGACATTTACCCACACCTTCTCCCACACCAGGCTATTTACAGCAGCGTTTGAGATTTTTAAAGATTTTGAGTACCCTTGAAACCAACCTGGTTCTTTTGCCAGGAACCAGTGTGTTGCTGCGTATGGTTCAGGTCTTTTTTAAGGTTAAATAACTATCTAAGAATACCACCAAGAGATCTTCCCCAAGGCTGGACACTTATGAGTGGCAGGGTGCGTGGCATAATATAGGCAAGTACCCAGGCGAGTGGGCCCCTCCAGGGCTTTGGAACTTCATCCCTGCACAAGTGTGGAATCTGGAAAAACTAGTAAAACATTTGGGAGAAGTATGCTGTTGTCCTGGCAACACCAGAGAAGCACAAATCACTGCAGCGTGCTGGGGCCTGACCCATGCCTACAGAGCCCTGCTCAACACTATCCAGTACCCTCAAGGAGAAAAGAAGGTCTCCGGATCCGATGAC